GGCTTTTTAGCATAGAACTTTCAAGCATAGACACTAACTGTAGACTGCTACCAGCCTTGTATACAATCTCACCAACTACTGCAGAACTTCTCTGTGCCTCAGTCTCCTTTTTTTTTTTTTTTGGTACCGGGGATTGAACTCTGGTCCTTGTGCGTGCGAGGCAGGCGGTGGAACCACTGACCTAAATCCCAGCCCTACTTTTTTTTGCTTATAGTCTTGCCAGGTTGCCCTGGCTGGCCTCCAACTTGTGATCTTCCTTCCTCAGCTACCCAAGCAGCTGCGATTGCAGGCATGCAGAATCGCACAGGGCTGGAGACTCCTTAAATGTGGGCCACAGCTTGTGTTCTTTACTGCAGTCCTGTTGCACAGGGAGCCCACTGGAGGGTGGTCAGGTGTGGGAGGTGGGAGGTGGGAGGTTCTTGGTCCTGAGAGTGGATAGTCTCTGTCTCTGAGTGAGCAGAGTAGAGCAATAAAGGTGTGACCAGGGCCGGGGACAGGGGCAAGCGGCGGGGATGGGAGTCCAGGAGGACGCCTGTCCCAGACAGGGGACGAGGTGTCGGGGGACCTGTGCCATGAGGCTGTCCCTGAGAGGGCTGAGGGTGCTGAGCAGGTCGGCCACTGTGAGAGCAGTCAGGATGCAGGGCAGGGAAGATGAGGAGGGGTCTTGGAGGGCCCAGCAGGGAGGGAGGAACAGCAGTGTCCTCAGCAGCCCACAGCTGACCCCGCTCCTGCACAGCGCGCTCTGCTTGGCACCTTCGCAAGTCTCTGGCTTCCATACATCGGCTCCGCCCACTGAGGTCGGGAGCCCCTCAGACTCACCCAGCTCCTCGAGAACCCACCTGGAGCGCTAACTGCCGAGTCTGCCCAGGCTGGCGGCTCCCGTGGGTCCCAGATCAGCAGCACCCAAGGCCTGGGCTGCCCCTGACTGTGGCCAAACGCCGCGCCTTCAGTTGCCCAGGGTGTTCCTGTGCAGCAGGCGTCAGACTCTGCGCTCCACCCTCCCCTCAGCCTGCTCGGTGTCCTCGTTCTTGCGGCTCTCCTTCCAGGGGCCCATCCTGGAAAGGGAAGAACATGGTTGTCCCTTCTGGTAATACACGCAAGGAGGGAATCACAACGATATGGTTTCAAATCTTAGGCTCCACAGGGTTTCCCAAAGCTCAAGAAACCTTTCAGGTGAAAGTGCTGTATGCCAGGTCACAAACTCAGGGCCACAGCCCAGCGGCATCTTGCTGCCTGTGGGACGCAGGTCAACTGAGAACGCCTTGACCGCGCCGCACACCGCCTCAGCTGCTTGGGGCCACTGAGGCAGAGTGCAGCAGGTCACATGGGCGTGCAATCACAGCCGGGGACACTGGGCCTTCAGAGGAGAGCTTGCTGACCCACCTCGACTTAAAACCCGGAATCTGGTCTCCTGTCACGTGATGCCCTGTGCCGCATCGAGCGGAGAGTGCCAGGGGGGACGACGAGGCAGAGGGGGGACCCAGGCGACGTCTGGGGCCGACAGTGGGAGGTGGCTGAGGTGCCACTGGCACGGTGATGAGCGTGGTGTGGGGCGGGGACTTAGGGCCAAGCTGAAGGTCGTTTGTGGACAAGAAGGTCCTCGACTGTGGGTGGCTCAGGCGCTTTCTGCTGCACGTAACACAGGATCACCGACTGGGTGTTAGGAAGAGCAGAGGTCGAGATCAGGGCGTGTCTGGTGGTGGCCTTCTTGGGGGCAGGGTCATGGCGGTGCAGGGGATTGCGCGGCAGGAGTTGGGAGCCTGTGCACGCCTGTCGTCACTCTGAGACTCTTTCTCTAAACGCTGTGGTCACATAAGGCCCACCCTCTCAGGACCTCACACTAAGGTCTCTACTTCAGGCTGGGTGTTGTGATGCAGGCCCAGTCTTGTCACTCAGGGAGGCTGAGGCATTGCAATTTCAATCCAGCCTGGGCAACTCAGCAACTAACTTAGCGAGCCCCTGTCTCAAAATAAAAAGTGAAGAAAGGGCTGAGAGTATCACTCAGTGAAAAGGCCCTGAGTTTAGTCTCCATTATCAAAACAAAAACAAAAACCAAACACAAACTAAAGACTGTGTATCTGCATGAGCCTCAGTGGTGGACGGTGCAGCTCAAGGTTGGCTCTGGGTGGGGATGCCAATGCCGGCGATGTGCCAGAGCCACCCAGCAGCCCTCATAAGATCACAGACATAAGCTCTGTGAGTCCCTGTGTGTAAAGTTCAAAGAGAGGGAACATCAAGAGTGTGTGAGGAGCTCTGACCACACAGTAATATAATGATTTAAAAATCACCAAAAAAGTAAACTCACAAGTAAAAGGAGGCTCGACAGAACTGGTCAGCAGGGTGACAGAAATTAAAAGGTCATTGAGACCCCCATTGCTTACCAACTAGAAAGATGAAATCCAGGCTGGCCCCACAAAGTGCTGACATTATGTGAGCAGCTGCCATAGGGACCCAAGAGGATGCAGCCTCTCTGGAAGGCAGGTTCACAGTGTGGTAGCTGCTTCCTCCTTGCTGGGATACAGCACCCAACAGCCACAGGTTAAAGGAGGAGAGGTTTATTTAGCTCACAGTTTATAGAGGTTCAATTCATAGTTGGCTGGCTCCAAGGCAGGGTGGCCTGGCAGAGGAGCATCTTGGAGGAGAAACAGTCCATGGCAGGGCAAACAGGAAGCAGCGAGGAATCAAGGGTGGAGGAGGGAGCTAGACCCTTCTGGGTCACGCCCCCAGGACCCACCTCCTCCCAACATCACATTCAGATTTAAACTCATCAGTGGACTAATCCACACTTACAAGTACCATGCCCCTGTGATCCAGTCATTTCCCAAAAGCCCCACCTATGACCACTTGAGGGGGGATGTCTAAAAATAAACCATAAAAATAAATCATTTCTTAAAGTTAAACATAAATTTCCTACACTTATGGGAATGGTCTTTCATGATGGTGGTAGTGGTTCACACAAGCATATATACTTGTCAAAATTCATCTGTACACAAAAAATGTGGCAAATTTTACTGTGTACAAATTATACATCTGTAAAGCTGATTGAAAAGAAAGGAGAATTCATCTTCAAGGGCAGAGGTGGGACTCAAGGTCCCATAGCAGATGCATGACCACAGGGGGAACAATGTGGTTTAGACCTTAAGTCACTTACCCTGCACAGACATGGGGACATCACAGTAGAGGCCCAGATGCCACTCCAGTGTGTGTGTGTGTGGGGGGGGGGTCCTAGGGAAGATGTTCTAGGGAGGCAGAACTCACCTTGTAGATTATTCTCTTTGGAATCAAAATGTGCCCATCCAGACAATATCCTGCAACAGAGTCCCCCAGTGAGATAAGAGATCTCAGGAAGAGTGGAGTGGAGGGCAACTGTGTGTGCATAGAAGGATGGGTCTGAAGGTGCAGTCTCTCCTGTGTCAGTGAAAGCTCTTTCCTCTGCCTGTGGGTGAGAAAGAGGTCCAGGGGATGGACTAGGTCACAAGACTTGGATTCTAAGTTTCTCCAGCTCAGCAGGTCAAAATGACAAACCTTGGGGCCGGGGATTTAGCTCAGTGGTTCTGCCGCCTGCCTCGAAAGCACAAGGACCCGAGTTTGATCCCTGGTACCAAAAGAAAAAAAAAAAAGGTGCTATTCTGGACAAATCAAAATAACACACATTGTGGGAATCATTTTTTAAGCCCAGCTGTGGGTAGACACAGAACAGTGTACTGATTGGTGCATTGAGCTGTACACTCAGGATTTATGCATTTCTTTAAATTACACCTCAGTTTTTTGGTGAGGGGGGGTCTCACTATGTAGATTAGGCTGGCTGCAAGCTTGTGGTGCTCCTCCTGCCTCAGCCTCCCAAGTGCTGGGATTGCAGGCATGTGCCACTATATCCAGTTTATACCTCAGTTTTAAGAGAAACAAATAATGATGCCTTGTGGGGCATGGTGATACAGGTCTATAATCCCAGCACTCTGGGAGACTGAGACAGGAGGATCGAAAGCTCAAGCTCACCCTGGGTAACTTAACAACTTAGCAAGACCCTGTCTCCAAATAAAGAAATAAAATAAGGTTAGGGATGTAGTTCAGTGGAAGGCCCTGGGTTCAGTCCCTAGCACCCCGCCACACACACACACACACACACACACACACACACACACACACACACACAGTAGAAATAAGGATGCCTAAGCCCTGTTCCTAGAAACCGATTTACGTGGTCTGGGGCTGGACGCAGGCACTGTTCTATTTTAGGGGTGCCCGGGACCCTGATGTTCCCCAGAATAGACAGCAGTGAACACAGGCCCAGCTCGTGTTGTGTCTGCGTGGTGGGGGAGGTGCTGGCACCTCATGCAGGCAGGGGTCTGTCCCAGGGCGGGTGGGAGGCTCAGCTTGATGGCTGGAAGGTCACTGCAGTGGGTGGAGGTGTGCAGAGCCCTGGGTGTGTGCTTCAGCCCCTTTCTGACCCCCAGGAGGAGCAAGATGGCCTCGGACGAAGCCTCACAGGACACTGTGCGGCTGCAGTTCAAGGCGATGCAGGAGCTGCAGCACCGAAGGCTACAGAAGCAGATGGAGGCAAAGAGAGAAAAGAGCCTGCACCTCCAGAGCCATGCTGACCACCAGGAAGGGCCCTCGGGGGTCTCTGACAGCCTTGGCCTCCTTCTCTCGGGGGAGCAGGACTTGAAGAGCGTCTTCCAGCAGAGGTAATGGAGGGCTGACCTCCCACAGAGCTGCGGGCAGGTGGAGGCAGGGGCGGAGTGACTGCAAATGTAAGATGTGGGCTCATCGATGAAAGTGGCTTCCATGCAGAGTTGGTTCTTAGAAACTCCTGGATCTGCTAGACCCGTGCTCCTGAGGGCAAAAATTTGATATGAAACACACCTGAAAACCATTTAAAATCAACTTGAACATTTAAAAGCTCCTCAGGGTATAGTTTGTCACCTGGTTTCGTTTTTTATTTGATTGATTGATTGATTGGTTAATTGATTGATGACGGCAGTACTGGGGTTGATCCCAGGCCTATGCACTGAGCTACATCCCCATTCATTCATGCATTTATATTTTGAAACAACATCTGGCTAAGTCGCTAAGTTGCCCAGGCTGAGTTCAAACTTGTGAGCCTCCTGCCTCTGCCTCCCAGAGTGCTGGGATTACAGGCGTGCACCACCATGCCCTCTTTATCAGCAGATTTTTTCCATCTCTCTTTCATGAGAATTCTGTCTGTGTCTCTGAGGAGCTGGTTGGCTACTGCTGGTTCATAGATGCTTGTTGCTCCAAATCCATCCGAGACCATTGTCCCCGGCTAGCTTCCTCTCCTGTCCCAGAGATGCTCCTGCTGACCCTTTGTCCCTTCGCAGCCGGTGGACAAGTTGGAAGGTATCGGGAGTCTTCGCAGTGTGCTCTGACCCCAACGGTGCGTGGAGGCGCGCGGCCTGCGGCACTTAGAGGCAGCAGGGCGAGCGTCCTCTGCCCATCACTGGACCAGAGGAGCACCCCGCAGCTGAGCCGTCTCTGCTTCTGCTTTTGTCTGGAATATTTCTTCCATCTTCAAATTCGATTTTTTTATCACCTTCAAATTCTGTTTTTTTTAGTTTCTGTTTTCAAAATGACCTACTTCAAAATGCCAATTGGAAAAAATAGATATTTCTAATAATTGAAAAAATTTCAAAAAGCATACAGCTCCTGAATATCAGCTCTCAGTCAACCCCACACCTGTTTCCAAATGACCCGTCCCCGAATCAAGAGACTGGGTGGAGCGGCAGCAGCAGCAGCAATAGTAGCAACAGCTGTTGCCAGAAAATCCTGGCCTCCCGGCAGCTCCCTCTGCACTGCGCCTGACACGGCAGTGACCACCACTCAGGGTTTCTTGGCTCCATGAAGACAGCGGTGACACAGGACCGGCCGCCTCTTCTGCAAAGTGTACCCAAACCCCAGCCCCCTAGCCTCAATTTAAAGCTTACAAAAATCACCATTTGCAAGCGCATGTGTGTGCACGCGTGTGTGCATGTGTGTGCATGCGTGTGCACACGCGTGCGTGGAGGACTGCAGAGGCTATGTCGGTGAAATGAGGCTGGCTAGGGCTGTCAATCCCCGCACCCCTCGAGTGTGACAGTGTTCCCGGGGCCAATCCTCGCTGAGTGCTTCCTCATGTTCATTCTGATTTCTTCTTTACCAACAGATAATTTGGGAATTTGCTTCTCAAGTTCCAAATATATGATGGCCTTTGGGCTTTGTTTTTTATTTTCTTTTACTTTTTGACTTACTTTTGTTTGTGTGTTTTCAGACAGGGTCTCATTACACAGCCCCGGCTGGCCTTGAACTCACTGTGTAGCCCAGGCTGGCCTCCAACCCCCAGTCCTCCTGCATCAGCCTCCAGGAAGGATGCTGGGATTACAGGCCTGTGCCACCATGCCTTGTTTATTTTTTGCTATTTTTAAAGCGTTGAATTTTTGTCCACTGCCGTCTTTATTTGAGAATGTGCTAAGACTGGCTTTGTCGCTGCCTGTTCACTTTTATGAGTATCCCATGGGTGTGTGACATACTTCTCTGAGTCGGGTTTCGTTAGTAGATCCCTTGAAGCCAGCTAGTAAGCCGCGCCACTCAGCCTTTCTTTTCTCCTTCTGCTCGTGTGGTGCACACACGCGTAACCGCTCTGTCCCGGGAGCAGGGTGTTAGAATCTGCTCACCTCTCCCCTTTCCGTGCAGACCAGTCCCACTCCCCAGTGAGGCCCTGTGCCTGCCCGTCCAGGAGGCCCCAGCCCTGGGCGCTCACGCCGCCTTTGCCTCCCAGGGTGCTCGAGGACGAGGTCCAGCAGCTGCGGGAGGAGCTCAGGGAGACCTCGGACGAGAACGGGCGGTTGTACAAGCTGCTGAAGGAGAGGGACTTCGAACTCAAACACCTCAAGAAGAAAATAGAAGAGGACAGGCTGGCCTTCACAGGTAGTGCAGGGTCAGCTGTGGTCACGTGTGCAGCTGCATCCCGGAAGTGAGGGAGGTGGAGGAGCAGAGGGGGAAACTGGGCCAGGGCGAGCAGGGGCAGGGCGGGCCCTGAAGTCTCTGCCACTGGCCTGTGACCTCACCTGGTGTTTGTTTCTGGCATTTTGTGTTTGTGTTTTGTGTATGTGTTTCGTTGATTGGTTTCCAGTACTGGAGATTGAACCCAGGGCCTTCATATTAAGCTACATCCCCAGCCCGTTTATTTGTCATTCATATTTTGAGACAGGGTCTCACTAATTCCCTAAATTGCCCAGGCTGTCCTCAGACTTGTGATCCTCCTGCCTCAGCCTCCCAGAGTGCTGGCATTACAGGTGTGCACCCTGCTGACCAGCCACACATTTCAGAGAGGGAAGTCCAACGGGCCCCATTCACGTTTTAAACCAGGCCACAATGTCGACTACAGACAGGTAGAAGGGCTGTTTTCCTTTGGCTGGAGTGTTAGTGGGTGTTTTAGTGATTACACGTGGGACTTAACTTTGTACAGTCTGTTAGTCTATCAGAAACTTACCATGTCAAGTGGAAGCAGAAACTTCACCACCATAGAAGTGCCTTCACACTCCCCAGGGATGTCACAGCTTTACATGCGTTACACCAGGTTTACTGAGAGTCTTATGGATGTTATAGGTTTTGCAGGCAACCATTATACACATTTTAAAGAACTTGAGGAGACAAAATTAGTCTGTGCTTTCCTCACAGTTGTACCATTTGTCAGGGACGTCACAGCTGCAGGGCTGGGCTGGGCTGCAGTCTGACTGGGAGATGGGGAAAGCAGCGGACCCGTGGTCTCTGGGCTCCCCTGCTGTCTGGGCTGAAGAGGGCTTCTCCTGACCCACTGCTGAGGGCCGGTTCCAGGACTTGCACTGCTTCCGAATCCCAGGAGGAAACCCTAACCTGGGAACTCCGCCTGGATCATTTGTTCTTCTAGGTCTGGTTTCCTCCCAGATATGCTTGGTATGTCTTAGCTTCCAGTCCCTGGGGCACAAAACCCAGCACCCACAATTGAAAGGAGGAAAGGTTCAATCTGGCTCCTGGTTCAGGAGATTCAGCTCCATGGCAGGAACGTCATGGCGGAAGGGCACGGTGGAGGGCGGCTCACCTCATGGTGACCAGGAAGCAGAGAGAGAATGGAGGAGGGAGATGGACCCCCAAAAGCCCCACAGTGGCCCCTCCAACCAGGCCCCACCTCCTCACAGCACACTCAGCCTGGACTCATCAGTAGATCCATCCACTGGTGAACTCAGCACCCCGATCCAGTCACCTCCCACCTAGACCTCTGAGGGGCATTCTAGATCCAGCCCACGACACTCACTGGCTCCCAGAATCCTCACCTTGCTTCATGCATTCTGTCCTGGGGTGTGGGGTCCTCCGTGGGAACCATAGGGTGGCACACGCTTCCCCCACCCTAGCAGAGCCGGAGCTTCTGCTGAGAGTGCGTCTCTCCAGCTGCTAGGCTGGTGGTGCCCCCTGTGATCTTTCAGCGTCCCTCCCCGGCCATGGCGAGTTGCAGGACCAGGGAGCCAGCGCCCTCCTGTCCCCTCCCCGCAGACCTCAGGGCCCCAGCCTGCTCTGAGCTCTGGCCCCCGGGGGTCCTTGTCCTCCTCAGCACCTGTGAGGTCCCGAGGGCAGCCCCTCCCCACAGCCCACCTGAGTCAGAAGCTCCAAGTGCCGCCGCGTGCTCTCCGCCACATGCTCTCCACCGCTGTCCCCTGTGCCCTGTGGCACGGCCTTGCTGGGAAGGAGGACAAGGTGTGTGTGCCAGGCTTCTGGGGCTGGAGTGTCAGAAGCATGCAGGGAACTTGCAGAGCCACTGCCCGCAGGGCGCTGCCTTCCCGAGAGCCAGCTGCCCGTCCTCAGAGCCCGGCCCTCGTCACGCTCTGTCCAGAACCCTCCTCCTCGCTGACAGCCCACCTCTCGGCTCCATCTGCCCCGCCAGAGTCCGGCTGTGGACGATCTCCCTCCTCAGAGAGACGCCGGGCCACAGCCTGGGGAACGGCAGCGCCCACCCCTCTCGGCCTCACTGCGCAGCCCGATGCCCCCACACGCCCCTCGCAGGCTGATGCCTTGCTGTTCATTGTCTTTCTGCTAGAATGTAAACTCCAGGAGTCCCTTTTACTCACCACCAAATCCCTAACACTGAGAGGGCCCGGGACTTGGCAGAAACTCTGAACACTTGCTCAATGAATGCGTGTGCTTGGGGCTGCCACAGCGCTCTGCCGAGGAAGCAGCCACATTGTCTCAGCAGCTTCCGGGAGCGAGCATTCCCTCGGCCCAGGCCTCGGGGGCAGTGGGGTTGGCTGAGCCCAGCCTGGCGTGGCTGGGGCGGCTGCTGTCCCCTGTACCTCCTCTGAGGGCTGGCAAGCTGGCCCAGACCTGCTCACGTGCAGCTTAGCAAGCGCTCCTCCAGCCCCTTCCTGCCCTGGCCTCTACCTCCTGCTAGCCAAGCCCAGAGCCCAGCAGGCAGAGAAGGGTGGGGGCTGCAGCCCCTCATCAGAGGGCTCCAGGGAAGAAGGGGGCATCAGCCTGTCTCCCGCAGAGCTGAACCCCTGCCTTCCAGTTTCACTGTCTCCCTAAGTGGCTTCCTTTGTGTCTCCAGCATTGCCGTGGGCCCCTGGGTGTGCGGGACTCTTGGAACCTCTGCCCCTTGAGCTCCTTGCCAGCACTTCGCCCTTAAAGCCCCAGCGCTGTTGCCATGTGGCATGAGAGTGCGCATGGGACTCCTTTCTCCTTTCTCTTGACCTTGCCATTCCCTCCGTTTTAGGGACAGCCGGCCCAGCAGGAGACCTGGTTGCCACCAAAGTCGTGGAGCTGTCCAAAAGGAACCGAGTGCTGGCGGCAGAGTCGGAGGCTGCGCGAGCCAGGGTGAAGCAGCTGAGCAGTCGCGTGCAGGAGCTGGAGCGGGAGGTGAGGGCCAGGGCCCAGGTGCCCAGGGCCACCACAGTAGATGTTGAGTGGCCTCTGAGGGCTGGAGGGCACACATTGCTGTCTCACCTCCAGGGCCCAGGAGTCAGGCTGCACAGGACCTAGGCCACTGAGAGGAGCCAGTGCAGTGGCCACAGCTCAGCACTGGGGCATGGTGGCCTCGTGTGGCTCTCTGCAGCTCTGCCAATGGCTCTGCACGTGTGAGCACTCTGCACTTGGCACCACGAGGGAGCCTCTGTTCTGTGGCCCAGAGTTGTGAGACCCGACTCTGGCTCTGAGCCAGGCCCTCAGGGAGGTGGAGGGGTCAACACAGCCATGGTGGCTCCCAGAGACAGCACATGGGCTTGTGGTATGGTCGAAGGGCCTCAGGAGGGTGTTACAGGCTCAGTGTCCCTGACCCGTCGTCTCACCTGTGCCCCCCAAGTCCACGATTCTTCCACGCTCACCTCCTCAGCTGAGCTGGGGCTCAGCATTATCCGCTAAGCTGCTGGCAAATCCCTGGCTGCTCTGCTGGTGTGTGGGGAGGGCAGCTGTCTGCAGGGACAATCCCACTGGTGCCCCTAAGGCACTGAGAGGACAGCCCCCCACAGCTTGGTAACCACACACCCCACACACCAGGGTGTTTTGGTTGGGCCATCCCGCACAGAGCAGCATTAAATATTAAGGGTGAGGTTTGCTTTTTCAGTTGCAGACGGCCCTGGCCCGGCTGCCAGCCAAGGGGGCCACAGATGCAGGAGCCAAGCCAACGAGGCCCCAGATGGGAGACAGCACCCTGGTATGGATCCTGCCTGTGCTGGGGCCTGTGGGGCTGCATGGGCCTGGCCACCCCGTCCCCTCCCCCGCTCTCCCTCCTGCCCCTCCCTTCCTCCCCCTCCCCTGTGGGCGTGTGGGTGCCTCTGCCTCAGTCCCCTGACTCCTTGGCCACACTGGCACTTGTAGGGGAGCCACCAGGGAACAGTACCCAACCCGTGGCCTGAGGCTGGGGGTTCCCAGCAAAGGCCAGGAGGGTCGATTCCTATTCAACCTCGGGGAGGGGCTGAGGCCTTGGGGACCCCAAAGCAGCCACCGGCCTCCCGCTTGTGCCTCCCGCACAGCCGCTCCCATGGGAGAACCAGCTCCCCCCACCCCAGGGAGCATCTGTGGGTGGCTCACCGTGTCTACAGAGTTGGGAGGGTGAGCGTCCCCCAGGCACCTTGTACCAGCCCAGGGAGGGGACTCACAGCGTGGGGAAGCCATTGTCTGTGCCCAAGCTGGAAGCAGAGTCTGAGTGTCAGGAAGTCCCGAGAGACCAGGCTGCAGGGGGACAGAGGGAGCCGGCTGGGCCGCCCCATCTAGGATCAGGCCAGCTGAGCCTTCAGGGCAGGGCCTCCCCTTCCCAGGGACCACAGAGGGCAGCACAGTGGCAACCAGAAGTCCCACCTGCCCTCCAGGAGCCCGAAGTGCATGTTCCTGGCCTCTCCTTCACAGACGAAGGGGCGCAGCTTGGAGGGGCCCCACTGCCAGGTGATCCAGCCAGAGCCGTCCTCTGTGCCCCTGCCAGGAGCTGGCCCACCACAGAGGCACTGCCATGACAGCTCCCCAGGCAAAGCCCTCGGGGCCCAGGACACAAAGCTGTCATGGGTGGAGGGATGTCCTTCTCAAGCCAGGCCAGCTCAAAGCCTCCGGTCTGACGGAGAGAGGACGGGCGCCCACAGTGGGGAGAGGGGCAGTGGGCAGCCCACAGGCAGAAGGACACACGAGTCCTTTTGACAGGGTTTCCTTGTATTTCCTGTTTGTTTCCAGCTTGCAGGCTTTGCTCACATTGGTTATTCCTCTGAGTGGGATGTGGTGCTGTGAGGAAGCCGTCTGGGACCAAGTGTCCAGGGCCAGTTTCTTTGGCCATTGGTCTTCAGCAGGGCTACCCAGAGCCTCTGGGGTCCGTGGAACGCCCCACACAGTCCACCGGGGCCACCTGCCACCCTGGCCTTCACAGGAAGGGATAGAAAGCCACAGCCACACCCACCTGCCTCCCAGAAGCACCGTCCCCTGGGTACCGGGCGAGGGCGGAGCCCCAGTGCCACCGTGGGGAGGAGCCAGGGTTCCAGGCGGTGGCAGCTGCCCAATGGGAAAGTCAGCCAGGCCCGGAAGGACCAGGCTCCTGCCCCAGGATGTCACCTCCACCCTGCTGTGTGCCCGAGGGCAGGCACTTCCCCTCTGTTCCTGAGGCTCGGGAGGAGCTCAGATGGCTGAACTTGGAGGGCTCGGGATGTCTAGCAGACAGGCAGTCGGCACATTGCAGAAGAACACAGAGGCGAACATGGCACCCTATGCACCAAACATTGTTTAAAAAAGTAGAAAACCAAACAAAGTTCCACCAGGCAGTCTTCATGGCTGCTATAGTTCCTCAGGCCCCAGAGAGGGAGGGTTTGGGGACTGCACCCGGGTCTCTTTCCTGCTCAGTGAGCACAGTGCCTGCCAGAGCCGAGGCCCAGGCTGGTGGTTTGACTCCAGGACAGGGAGCCTGGGTTAGGGAGGTCATGGTCCTTGTGCGAGTGAACCTGCTCCTCCTCTATGAGTGAGACTGGCAGAGGCCACACCCAGGGGCCCGGGCTGTGTGGAGCCTGCAGCCTCCCACAGCCAGCCTGCCTGTGTGGGCAGTGCTCTGCACAAGGCCTCCGCGCGCAGTGGGGCTGCCAGGGTTCAGCCCAGGCCTTGCCTTCAGCAGCCAGGTGGTCAGGCCAGGGGCTTCCCTCCCAGGACCCAGGACCCAGGAGGGTGGAACAAGGCCCTGGGGATGCGGGGGCTGCGGCTCTCATGACTTCAGGGCACAAGCGACCGGTCTCCCTGTCCCTCCAACAGCTGGACACCCTGGAGGTGAAGGCCCTGCAGGACCGGCTGGTGGCCACGAACCTGAAGATGAGTGACCTGCGCAACCAGGTCCAGGCCGTGAAGCAGGAGCTCCGAGTGGCCCAGAAGGTCCTTCAGAGCTGGGCTGGGCTCGTGGCTGGGGCGGCCGGGAAGACTCCGCCTCGGGACCAGTCACTCCTGGGTCCCGCGCTGGGCTGAGGAAGAGAGCTCTGCCCCCTGGGGAGGATCCTCTACCCTCCCCCACCCCCACAGCCCAGCAGGCCCTGGGTTTGGCAGGAAGCTGGGCAGGACCCGCCTCCCGCCCTCCGCCCTGGGTAGTGTCCCCACATGGACAGGCGGTGTGTGCCGTGTGCATTCAAGGCCCCTTCAAAGGAAACACTCAGGCTTGGGACCCAGCCCCCGGGGTTCGTTATTTATCTGTTTGGACAGCGAATTCCCTGGAATTTTTCTGTCCCTCCAGAACCACTCAGCCTGGCCAGGATCTCTAAACCAATGACAGCCAGCTGGGCAGGGCTCTGGGGGCCCCTCAGAGGGGCTCAGGCGCGGGCTGGTGCCACTTCCAGGCCACAGTGTGGGGCCCGAGCCCCGCATCCCAGCCCCAGAGCGGGGCCCCTGAGGGACCCTCCAGCCTTCTCCCGCTGCTCTTCCACGACCACTTGTCCTAGCTCTTCTGAGGCCAGTGCCGGAGGCCCTGAGGGTTCTCTCAGGTGACGAGTGGACGGGTCCTTGAAGCTGGTGTGGTCGGTCATGCAGGCCACTCGCCAGGGACTATGTGGGGACCTGGGGACTCTGGCCGCTCTAGTGTCACCAGGAAGTTCTGAGGGTGACGGGTCTTGTCTCCAGGGAGACCTGGCCTTCAAGCCTGGCCTGGCGGCTGTGCTCTAAGGCAGAGGAAGGGGTGTGGGTGAAGGCAGGGTCCTCGGGGAGTCCCCAGCACCACTTCTGGGAGGCCTGCTGGAGCCCCTCTGGCTGCCGGCCGCAGTGGTGAGCCCCCGCCTGCCTCCAGGTCCTGGCCAGCGAGGTTGGGGAAGACGTGAGCGTGCAGCAGCTTCTGTCCTCACCAGGGACCTGGAGGGGACGCGCCCAGCAGATCCTCGTGCTGCAGAGCAAGGTGAGCGGCCAACGCCAGCTTCCTGGGCGGCCCCCGAGGCCCGGACACAGGACCCGGAAAGGCCGCCAGGCCGGGGCCCAGGAGCGCTGCAGGGCCGCTCCTCTCCCTCCGCCCTCTCCAGCCTGACTCCAATTCATTAGCCCTTGTGTAAGACGCAGCAACTCCAGGCCCTGGCGCTTTGCAAATGCCAGTGCCTTCAGCTTGACTTCTCCAGGCACATTTCTTTTTTCCTAGTTCATTTAAATTTGTGTGACTGCTGTGATTCAGGCTCTTTCCAGTTTCATCCTGATGGATGCAGGCTTTTGAACGTTTTCATTACCCAATGAAAACTTAGCCTTGCCTCACTCGGTTTTCCAAGCATTTTGGAGCATGCCCAGCGAAGCTAAAGAGCTGGGGCTGCACATCCCAGCCACTTGAATCCAAGCCCCAGTGCTGCACCCACCAGCTGTGTGACTTTGAGCAGGTTACTTCCAGTCCTTGCCTCAGTTTCCTTGCCTGTGGAGTGGGGAGAATAGCAGTCCCCATGGTTCCCTGGTGGCTTTCATCCTGAGTCACCTGTGGGGTCCTTGACGCCAACACGAAGGGGCGGGGCTCCAAATAACTGTAATTGGTGATTAGCGCGTGGCCCTGGGGTTCAAGGGAATGGACTTTGAGTCTGGACTCCGTCCCTGCTGAAAGCTCCGTGACCTTGGTCAGGTCACTTCCTCTCTGTACCTCAGTCTCCTCACCTGTAAAGTAGAAATAATAACACTGTCCCTGTAGGGTTGTTAGGGGTTAGTGAAATAATACTTGCACAGTGCCTGGCCATAATGACACTCATCATGTTATTATTGCTATCAAGTTGCATATTAAATGATTTAAAGTAATCCTGTGCTCTTTAAGGCTCCAATAGAAGCTATACAGTGCCACCTCAGGGCCCTGATTCATTCTTTTGTGAATCAGGGGCTCTTGCCCTTCACCAAAGGGGGCTCAAAGGGCAGCTTCTGCCCTGTGCAGAGATCCCAATGAGTCCTTTCTTCTTTCTTGGAAACTTTGTCTCCAGATGGAATTTGTTTGAGTTGCAACTTTGTTTCCAGGTAGAACTTTGTTTTATTTGCAGCTTGTCTTGGTTGTGACCACAGGGGAAGCAGGGTAGGAAGGACCCCGGGAGCTGTCTGCTAACCCCAGTATGACAAAGGCATCGTTCTGTGGGGTGACACCCACTTCCCACTTTCTGAGGGCCTGTGTGTGCCAGGCACTGCATTTCACCTGGACTGTCTCGGGGTTTTTCAAAGTTGCCTAATCCTAAAAATCACCCAGGCCCTTCCCTTGTCGGTCTAGAGTAGATAGATCCCAAGATTTGTCACTGCAAGAAGAGTCGTGGTAGATTTCATGTTTCAGGCGTGTTTGGGACACTGAGTCCTCTTAATGACGCTCTACAGTGTTTACCCCAAGGCTCATTTTAGGGTTGAGAGAAGCGAAGCGAGCCATGCAGTCACACAGCCCCGAGGCCCTGAGCCTCTGCAGGCACCACCCCCTGAGGAGCCCCCCTCAGCGCCCAGGCCTCGAGCTTTGGCCCGTGTGGAGACCCAGGCCACACATCTGCTTCTCAGCCCTGACGAGTCTGGTTTCTAAGCTAAGCCTCTGTGCCCTCAGCCAGCGCAGGTCTCCCCTCCCCACGGAGGCCCCCTCAGCCTCTGGGGCAGGGGCTCCAAGCCTTCAGTCCCAGTAGGGTCCTCCGCCTCCCCAAATGGTGGGGTCTGTGACACCGACTCGGTGGAATGAGGAGTTTCACTGCCCTCAGGTCCGGGAGCTTGAGAAGCGCTTGGGACAGTCCCAGAGCAGGTCTGCAGGGACAGCCAGTGACCAGCTGTCTGTCCACCCAGACCCCAGGAAGCTGTCGCCACAGGAGAGGAACCTGCAGAGGATCCGCAGCCTGGAAAGGGAAAGGCAGGAGGGCTGGGAGGTGAGGACAGGCCTGTGGAGCCTGGGTCAGGAGGGCCTGGGCTACCGAGGGGTGCAGGCGTGGGCAGGAGAGCCCTGGGGCCTTGGGTCACCTCGAGTGGGCCCAGCTGGAGCTGCCTGGCTGGGTCTCACGGGGCTGTTTGCAGGATGCTGTGCCTGAACCCATACTGGGAAGGGAGGGGGGCAGGTGTAAGGGGTTGGTTAGATGGGGCTTGGCGCGGGGAGCTCCAGGCTGATGAAGGGCCTGTGGGGCTGAGTCTAAGCAACAAACAGAACTCCTCGGCCCTGATATGAACAGTCCTGGGTGCCCTCACTCCGGGCATGGCTGTGTCGGGGACTTAGGGGCCTTCTGAGGTCCGGGTTGGCCACGCTCTCTCCCCGGGTCCCGCCTGGCCTGCACCTCGCTCTCTTCTATGCTCTCTGGCCCACACTCCCTCCCACCACTCTCCCCACTTCGCATCTGCATTTGTCCACTTCGGATGTCTTGTGCATCCCTGCTAGGAGGGCCGCTTCTTGCTCTGCTCACTCTGCCCTGGGCCCTTGGCACACAGCAGGCCCTCGGGAAGCACTCAGGGTGCCCAAGCCAGAGGCCAGAACCCTGCTGTCCTACGGGGTCTGGCTTCGGGGCCTCTCCGGGCTGAGCCTGACTTGGCGCCTTCCACTGCTGTTGGGCCTGGGTTTCCTCGTGCCTCACCCCGGTCGCCGGCTGGGTGGGAGCCCAGCACTGACCTGGCCCCGGCTTCCCAATGCAGAAGCTTGCAGGTGAGCGAGACGCCCTCCAGGGAGAGCTGGAGGAGCTGAAGAGAAAGTTCGAGGGTGCGCGCTCCCGAAACAAGATCCTGTCCAGCGAGGTGAAGACACTCCGGGGCCAGATGGGGACACTGGCAGAGAAGGGCAGGCATGACGATGAGCTCATCGACGCCCTCATGGTAGGCAGCCTCTCTGCGGACCAGAACCCGTGAGCAGCCCAGCCTGGGACAGCCTGGTCCCCAAAGGCCACCACATAAGCCAGGGGGGCTCACAGCCTGCACCCCGGGATGGAGCGGCTGTGCTGTGCAGGCACAAACCCTGGGCCTGAGGACCCTGAGACCCCGCGTGTTTGTGTCCATCCCTCTCCAAGGCCCTTGAAGATAGCTCGTCGCCAAGACAGCTCCCAGAGTCACAGGTTAGGGTCCCTTCCACAGCTGGGAGCTCAGGACACAGGCCTGGTACATAACCCAGCCCCACAACACAGCCACGCCCCATCCGGGAGCTTCTGACCACCCAGCCACCCCGATAAGTGAGGCCACACCGTGGGGCTGCCCTGCAGCCTGAGGCACCCCAGGGTTTAGCGTCTGAATTCCAGATGGTCTCCATCTGCCCCAGGGAGGAGCAGCCGGCTTGACTGGGGCACAGTGTTGACATCAGAACCCCGGAATGGAGGCTACCTCTGCCCCCCTTGCTGGCTAAGCCCAGCCCAGTCGCCGCCCCTCTCCGAGCCTCAGCAGCCAAGTTTTGCAACCAGGCACAGGCTGGGCCGCCTCTGCATCCCCTAAGAGGCTGGCAGACCAGCTGTGCACCCCCAGGCTCTCCGGCCTCTACTTTCTCCACCCCTTCCAGGTGGCTGACATTGCTCTTGCTGTTGCCCTGCTTCGGGAAGCTGCTGCCCTGGGAGTGTCCTTGGGGCATTTCCAGGCTGTGGGGCATCAGGCGGGTGGGTCAGGGCGCTGCCTCCTAGGAGACCAGGCCTGGTTTTTACCCCCACACCTGCCCTGCCAGTGAGGAGCCACCCAAGCTGCTTTCTGCTGCCCTCGAGCCCTGCCGCCTGGTTTGAGTCCCCAGTGGGCTGTGGTGGGCTGTGGGGTTCTTGGGACCCAGGGAGAAGACAGGGGTCACGCCGAGCAGCCAGAGCTGACCCGCTGTCTGGCCCGGACCCCAGGAGCAGCTGAAGCAGCTGCAGGAGACCCTGAGCAGCCTGAGCCTGCAGGAGGAGAAGGTCCGCACGTCCCAGCGCCACCAGGACCAGGAGGCCCACAGTGAGGCCCAGCGGAGCAGCAGCCTGGTGGCCCAGCTGCAGGCCATGGTGGCCGAGCGGGAGGCTAAGGTGCAGCAGCTGGAGCTGGAGGTCAGGCAGCTGGGCATGCAGGTGAGGGCAGGGCACCGCGTGGAGCCCCAGTGTTCTCTCCTCACACTGCTCTTGCTCTGGCCCCAGAAAGGACAGGTCCTCTGTAGGTCACCACCAGACAAGTGTCAGCTGCCGTTTCCTCTGACCAGCTGGGGAGGGCTCATGCCAGGCCGCCGGGTGGCCATACCCGCTGTCCCTCCTCGATGCCGAGGGTCCCCTACAGTCCCTGCCCAGCAGGCGTCAGGCCCTGACCTGGCCAAGTCCACAGCCACGCATCTCTGGCCCGGACTGTGGAGCAGCCCTGGCTCTCTGAAGAGGGCATCACCATGCGAGCAGTGCCTCCCACAGGCCTCTCCTCTGAAGAGAAGCCTCTTCCTGTCCCCGGGGCCCCGAGACCTGGCCAGGGTCCCCGCCTCCCCCAGGCCGCTGTGCCCAGCCTGACGTGGAGCTCACGCCTGTCTCCAGGACAGAGGCGCCGGCGAGGGGTCCTGCAGGCCTGAGGTGAACCCCACTGGCCCCAGGCTCGCAGGGGACCAGGCCAGGTCCCCAGGCTCCACAGGTGACCACGCCGGCCGGCTGGGACCCTCTCGGTGAGCACACACTGGGGAGGGGAAGCCCCCATGGGCCCCTGGCCATCCTTCCCGCAACTGCAGGCCAGCCATGAGCCCCCGGCCTTGCTGCGACCCTCCTTGAGTGTCCTCAGGATGCGTCTGTCCTGCCCCTCACGCAGCCACACTAGGCCCCGACACCCGCTGGGTGGTTTCATTCTGGGAAGAGGCCCGGGACGCTGGGGGCCCACGCCGGGCCCCTCAGCTGCTGACGGCCCCTCTGACCCTGCGCAGTGCCGTCAGCAGCCTGGGCCACACGCTGGTGGAGTCTGCGCTCACAAGGCCTTCCCTGCCCAGCCCCCACGGGACCACACCCAGGTAGGAGGCCCACAGCTTAGCCAGGGCCGCGTCCCACAAGGAGGAGAGCAGGACCGAGGCCAGGCAGGCCCAGGCCACGTCCGAGGCCACAGTCAGCGCCTGGCAGCTGGGGCCCGGCCACGCTCCCTCCGGCTGCCAGGGGGCAGGCGAGACCCAGCACCGACCCTGCGCCTGTGACAGGGACCGTGCTCCAGGGGAGCTCTGCCCGATGGCTCCCACTTCGAGTCCCCCATAGCCTCGGTCTCGGGCCTCTCTCTGTTGGTAGAATCGGCCTGGGGCTTAAACGGGGCCTTTGTTCTGACTGCCAGCTCACAGACAAGGGTGGCTTTGTCCTGCCTCGGCCTGCTGGAGCCCTGGTCCTGTGTCACCAGACCCTGTCCCTTGGGCAGGTCACCGGTCTAGCAAGGCCCCTCTTGAACTCCCTGTGTGGCTCCAGGCCAGTCTCTGGGCTGCTGTCTCCTGAGGAGCATGAGACACTTGCGACCTGGCACTGGGGCCAAGGCCAGCCTGGTACCACCCCATACCAGCATGGAGCATGAGCAGCCCTGTCTGAGGGGCCTGGGTCACCGCCCGCCCCTCCTTGGCCCACGGGCTGTGACCTTGCTCCCACGGGACAGACACAGACACTGACTGAGCCCAGCCCCTCCGGGCCCTGCCCATGCGGCTCCCCATCCCTCCCGCTGGCCACAGCGCAGCACTCTGGCTGGGGAAGGCCGCACGGCTTGCGCCCACTCCCAGGTGACTGGTGGGTGCTGGATGGACGGAGGGGGGCAGCCCCTTCCTCTGCTCCTCTGCACTCACTGGAGTGGTGGCACCCGCGGGCAGACCTACCAGGCGGGCACAGGCTCTGGCTCGCAGGCCCAGGGTGCACATCTGCATTTCCAGCCAGCACCAAGCCACCGCCACAGCCCCTGACCCAGAGAGGCCCTGACTTTGAGGGAGCAGTGCTGGGAGCCAGAGTGACAGGGCTGCGGCCCCAGGGCCCCTCACCACCCAGTGCCTAGCGGGACCTCGGCCCACGCGAGCCGCCCCAGACCCGTGTGCCCTGCTTGCTGCCCTGGCAGCCCTCCCTGCACCCACGCTGCTGGAGGGGCCCGGGAGCCAGCGTCCATAGCAGGCAGGTGGCTCCAGGCCCCATGGGGACTGCAGGGACTGAGCAGGGCAGGTGACTCCAGCAGGGCCCGGGGTCTGGCCACCCCCAGAGCCCAAGTGTCCTTCCTGTCCCTGCCACTGTCCCAGACGTGCGTGTGGTCTCCTGGCCTCGATGACCTCTGCCCTCCGCCCTGGCTGCAGGTTCCCAGACCCCGAGGAGCAGAAAGGCTGGCAGGCTCAGGCGACCGAGGCCAAGGCACTGTGGCAGGCCGCCGAGGTGGAGCGGGACCGGCTCGGCGAGTTTGTCACCGTGCTGCAGAGAAGGTAACACGCAGGCCGGGGCTCCGGGGGCCGTGTGGGAGGGGACGGGGCTCCCTCACCCGAGTTGCTCCCTGGTCCGGCCAGGGCAGCCCCAGCCACGAGGCCCCCAGACTGGGGCGCCGTCATCACACGGTCTGCCTGTCTGCAGCCCTGTCCTGGGCCCCTGGAGTCCTGGGAAGGGACACTGGAGCAGTGCTCTGCCAGTCGATGGGCAGCAGTTAAAGTCGAGCCGGTGCTGAGGGAGGGTGTGGTGGAAAGAGGTCAGGCTGGTAGCTGTGGGGAGAGAAACCTCTCTGGGGACACCGTGGACCAGAAGCTCCCGTGTCCTCCTGAGGCTGTTCACAGTCTTCATGAGAATGAATCGGTGCTTGCTGAGGGACCCTTGCAGGACCGCAGGGGCCAGGCCCTGATCCACAGTGCATCCCCGTCTCCCAGCCTTGTCCAGTGTCAGCCAGGCCCCCTAACGACAGTAACAGGAGCCTGCTCTGGCCAAGTGGAGTGGGAGGAGGATTTTCAGAAGGCGCTGGAAACCCCAAGGTGCAGAGGGGAGGGGCCCCAGGAGACAGGGGGCTTGGTGACACCTTGGTGGACAGTGGCTTCCATGTTTCTCTGTGCTTTCTGGGCAGGGGTGGCTCCCACACCCACCCGCATGAGGTGGTCAGCTCTGATTTCTTCGTTTTGTTCTGTGCATGGGGAAGATATGGATTTCGGACATAGTCAGGTTCATGAGAAAAGAGACATTAATTCTTTCCCTGTGGTTGAACTTTAGTGGACAGTGCAAGTCTGGTCTATCAAATGGAGACATGTATGCAGCTCCAGCTTTCTCCCCTAGTCATTAAGTTACTCCTGCAACCAGGATACAACTCAGCTATCGACTGCTGTGTAACAAATATCCCCAGCTTCAAACACACTGGTTTGTTCTTTCTCTCGGTTCCATGGGTCTCTGGTCGCTCTGCTCCATGGTGTCAGCTGGGGTCACCTGTGGAATCTCAATGGACTGGATGCTCAGTGAGTGCCTGGGTCCCTTCCTGCGGCCTCTCTGTCCGGGGCAGGCCAGGGTGAGGCCCTGGACAGACAGGGTCTGAGGATGCTGTCCCTCCCTCTCAGAGCCACACTCAGGCCACCCTGTCATCCAGCAAAGGCCGAGGGTCCCTTCTGCTCCACGTCAGGAGCTCTGCCAGGCTTCCCCGGCCCATCGGCCAAGGCGCATGGCCCTTCCTACCCTGGATCTCGCTGTCTGCCTGACATCAACAAGAAAGGGGGCCCGGGCAGCCTCTGTGCTATGACTCCCAAGCCAGTTCGCTCCAGGGCCTCCCCCCAACCAGAGCCCACTGTCTGTGGGGCCTGGGCCTGGTCTCCCCTGTGTCACTGGCCCCCAGCCCTGGTCCTGGGGCACCCGGGCGACAGGAGGGGAATTGTCATTCGTTTCTCTTCCCTCCATCTCCCACACAGCGCCCGCTGTCCTGTTGTCCATCGTCTGAAAGCAAGTCATTGCTTAGATTTTGCCCTTCCTCCAGTTCATGGGAGGGGCTGGCCTAGGCAGGCTGCAGGCAGAAGCCACTAAATACGGCTCTTTCATGAAAAAGCATGCAGTTGGCTTTGTTTTCAAATTCAAAGTGGGGATTTCTATGTTTAAACGGTGGCGTTCAGCCCATTCTCACTTTGTAATATTCGATCCCCTTAATTAGTTTGTTCTATTTGCCACGATTTTTCCCGGCTGCTTTTCTCCGTTCTTCTCCCCGATGCCAGACTGATGGAGTTCTATTTCCCTTTCCTCCGTGGGAGTTGGGAAGTTATAGTCCTCTCTCTCTCTCTTCCGTGTTACCCTGAACACTCAACAGAAAGCCCCGCCTGGCAGTTCCGGCCACTGGCTTTCTCCACTGTCTCTGAGCGCCAGAGTAAGGTAAACGCTCGCCTGATTCCTCCACGGTCGTTGACTTGTTACTCATTTCTGATATTTCTCTCTCGTGTTCTTTCTTCAAACCACCCGAAAGTAAACGCTCCCAGTCAGTCTTGGGTGCTAAAGTCAGCGTTGTTTCCTTTTCCTCCTCCTCCTCCTGCTCCTCCTCTTTCTTCCTTTTTGGCACTGGGGATGGAACCCAGGGCGTCCAAACTGAGCTACATCTCCAGTCTCCCCACCCCCTCTTTGCAACAGCATCTTGCTAAGTAGCTAAGTTGCCCCGACTGGGCTCAAACTTGCAACCCTCCTGCCTCAGCCTCCCCATAGGGTTGGTATTACAGGTGTGGGCCATGGTGCTGGGCTCATTCCCTTCTTGCCAGGGTGCACCTGTGGGTCCGTGGCAATGGCGGAAACCTGCTGAGACTTTATTTTTGACTGCTTTATTATGCCTTTCTCTTGAATGAAAATTTCAGAGGAATTTGGACAGAATTCTGAATGGGTCTTTTTTCTGAGCACTTTGAGGCCACTGTTTCATCTTCAGCAACCACTGTTGCTAAAAAGAAATCTGCTGTCAGTTGTTCCTCCTTCCTCTCTAGATGCTTTTTGGTATATTCTGTCTTGGGAATTTTTCATTGCACCATGTCCAGGTGCATGCGTTCACACACACGAGTGCACACACATGTACACATGCTCCCACACATACACACATGCTCACACATGTGTGCACGCACACACTAATTTTCCCACCCAGGAACCTGTGTCCTTTTCCCTCTGGATGTTGCCTGGGACTGCTCTCCATGTGTTTCTTCTCCCCATTCACCCTGTTCTTTCCTCTGGAACTTCTGATCACTGTGCATTGCACTTTCTTATTTGCCTCCATGACTCTTAACCCTCCCGGATATTTGGGGTGAATCCTGAGCGCTCTCTTCAAATCTGTCTCAGCTCACTAGGTATCTTAGCTACACTTTGCCTACCTTGGAACCTGTCCTCATGCCTGCACTTCCGCCTTCAGGGCTACGTGTTCATAGGGTCCCGGGACCTCCTGGCCTGGGGCCCAGCTCCGGGGTGGAGGGCTCGCGAAGCAGCCCACCACCGAAGAAAAGACAGATAGCTTCACCTTCCTCTGCACAAGGGTCTGGAGCCCCCCTAGTCCGCTTAGGGCTGTCCTGCGCCCCCACCCCCCTAAGGCACAAGTGGTGTCTGTCACTGGACTGTCCCCTCTGGTGAGTAGCCTCCCTATGCCATTGGTATTTCTGCTTGAGACAGGGTCTCACTGTGTATTCCATCCAGGCTGGGCTTGAACTTACTATGGGGCCCAGGCTGGCCTCAAACTTGCAGTGATCCTCCCGCCTCAGCCTCCTGAGGACTGGGATTACAGGCGCACACCACCGCACCCGGCTTATTTCTCGTTTTTGCAAACTTGTCTTCAGCAGGCTTTTTCTCAGGCTGTCTTTGGTTAGAAAACTGTGGGCATGGTGCTTCTGTGCAGTGCCAGGGTTTCCCCACACCCTGTCATTCACTGCCTCCCTGCCCCTCAGACGCCTGGAAGCTGCTCAGTCCTCCCAGCACACAGGGCGGCCTGGAGGCTCCGAGTAACCCCAGGAGCTCAGCGAGCCCCACGCCTTCCAGGAGCCCAGGCCCACTTCAGCCCCTGTGCAGTCCAGCCCCTGCCCAGGCTGCTGGGAGTTTCCTGTTTTCCTGTCATAAGTATGGACCTACTTACTGCAGAGTCTGTCTCCAACCCCAATTCCACATTCCTCCTAGATAAGAACCGCTAAAACTATTAAAAATGCTTTGTACATCTAATAATACGCATATATGTAAATGCATGTGTGTATCCGTGTGTACACACGTAACACATGTTGCTGAAAAATGAACTCAATACTAAACACATCGTCACCCTTTCGTGAGAGTATATCTGTATCGCAGACTCATAAAAAAGGGCTGGAGATGTGACTCAGTGCAAAATCCTTGGGTTCGATTCCCAGTGCTGAAAGGAATACAAGGTGGCAGACAGTGGCAGGCTGCCCTTTGAAAGTGGTGGAATTCACATTCCCGCCCATAGCGTGAGGACTTGGTCCTTTCCCCGCACGGCCCGCTGTGCCAAGATCCATCAGCCTTCGCCACTTTTGCCAGACCAGTATGGGACCCCTCGTCTCACGGCCTCTGCACACAGTGCGGGGCCGAGCGTGTGGCTGGGCGTGTTTCTTACGCATCCTGTGTGTTCTGCCCTGTTCATGACCTGTTTGCGCCGTGGCCCATGTGTGTAGCTGTGTGCACATACATGCGTGTTTACCCTTACATGGATCTTGTATCGTTTTTGTTAAATTAACAGTCAGGCGGGGGAACCTCCTATGTGTGTCACAGTTGAGCCTCCAAAGCAACGCTTTTAACATCAGAACACGCACCATAAGCTGGCTGCTTAATATTCTTCACTTCACTCTGGCCTTGGGTCAGTTTGGTCAGACCCAAAACACGATGCAAGTCAGTTACGAGGGAAGAGGCAAGCCTAGGAAGCATTTGGGGTTCCTGTGGTTGGTTGGAGGCTCCAGAGACCGGCTAGGACCACAGACAAAGCTGCTGGCCAGTGGGGCAGAGTGGGCTCAGGACAGGCACAGAGGCGCGGGTGACTCCGGCCTGCGTGCTGGGCAGCGCCTGAGGCCTGGGACCTCTCTCCAGGTGGGGAAGACACTTTGGAGGAGAAGGAGTTTGCTTGCTCCTAAATTTTGCGGGAACTCGTGCTGTGCTTTTCATTTTGCGCAGCGTTTGCTGTCCTTCCTTCCCCCGTGTGCCGGGTTATGAAGTCGGGCAGGACGCAGGCCTGTCTGCGGGGCCTTTGGGAGCGGCTTCCGTCCGTGCCCAGCCCTGCCACGGAATTACTCAGCCTTGCATCTGCTTCTGAATTTTCAATTTGTTATGAATTTCCAGACTTGACCGTGTGTCATGCACAGTCTTGTGCTACTTATTTCACTTAGTAAGACATCATAGACCTTCTCTTTCTCTCAATGGAAAATCTTTTTATGGCTAGAGGGTATGTTATTGGATGACTATGCAGCTTTACCTACCGGTCCTCTGTTGATGAGTTATTGGTTTATGATTTTGAAATGGCTCGTTGTGTTAGGGTGCCCCCATCTATCCTCATTTTTCTTGGAGTGTTAAACCTGACAAGTAGCCAGTGGTTTTGTCAGTGCTTCTTCAGCATCTACTGGGAGGATCTCAGGTCCCCATGGCCCTTCTCTGCCGGGTGGGCTCCCAGCACACCTCCTGGTTCCTGAATGAATGAGAGCGACAGAGGGGGGAGCTGAAGGAGTAACGAAGTAGGGCACAGCCTCCCCAGGGTTGGGCCCCTGAGGCAGTGTCTGTCACATGAGGCACTGGCAAGGTCATGCAAGGTGACGGCAGAGTGTGCGCTGAGCAGGAGCATCACCCACGGGAGGAAAAGGCCCCATGCCCCTCCAGAACCTCGCTCCGAAGGAGCCCGGCCTGGCCTGGGCCACCACTCCAGCAGGCCAGTGGGAGGATGGTGCCTGTCCTCTCCTGAGCTCCTGCCAGCGTGGATGCAGCCCAGCTGATTGGTGGCCCTCCCAGCCCCACGCCCACCCTCTCTGGCCCGTGATCGCGGGCAGCACCTGGCCTGTGCTGGTGCATTGCTAACACAGGGCAGTGGGCTCAGACTCGCCCCCAGCAGGGAGCTTCTTACATAAACAGCTTCCACCGCTTCCCATGGCCCTTGCTTTTTGCCACCCCTGTGGCCTGGCGATGAACAAGGCTGTATGCACAGCTCCCCTCTCAGCCTGGGGGAAGCTCCCGAGCCCACGGTGATGCCCTGCACCTGCTCTGGGCCATGCAGCCGCTGCCAGCCACCTGGGCTTCTCTGAACCCTTGGCGGTGCTTAGTGTGGCTAGGAGACCGAATTTCCTGTTTTATTTCATTTCATTAACGTAAGCGCTTCCTGTGGACATGCGGCTGGTGGCCACTGTCCTGGGAGGCAGAGCTCCGTCTACTCCAGGGTCAGTATTCCTTTGTCCTGTCCCTGTGGTGGCCCTGTAGGGCCTCTTTGGTGCTTGCTTTTGCACACAAAGTCTGGAGAAACAAGCATACACGTGCTGGGCCGCACGGGTGTGAAAGGCCACACGCAGCCCCAGGGAGGACCTTGGCCCAGGCCCCTGTGAGATGCTGTCACGCGAGGGAGCCACATGATGAGGTCAAGGCCGTCATGGCTGTGACATCCGACAGCTCACAGGAAACAAGACGTGAGCATAAGGCTGTGCCCAACTGCAGGGGAAGCAAACGGACAAGCAGGGAGGTGTCCCTGTCCGTGTCCACGCAGCTGGGCGGGGTAATCTGTCCCTACGTGCGCCCTGAGGAAACAGGACCTCAGTGCCCTGGCCTCCGCTCCCCACCGTGACGCCCACATAGCAAGAGGCCCTGGGGATGGAACCGTCTCGAGGGACCCTAAAGCAGGAGGACTGTCCTGGATTATCGGGCGGCACTGTCTAATTGCCTAAGCCGTGAAGGCAGAGCTGTTTTCCCATCTGGGCTCCTCCAGCGATGCTGCAGCAGCCAGCAGCCGGGTCAGGGAGGCAGGCCAGCTTCAGAGTCGGGGCAGTGTGCTCTGTGGAAGCAGCTGGAGGGAGCAGCGCTCGGCCCTCCGGTGGCCTGAGCTGGACTCTGCCAGTGTCCAGATGGGCTCAGAGCAGATCTCCCAGCCCCTCTACACAGGAGCCCTGCAGCGAGACCTTAGATTTGGCTGAGCAGGGAAACAGCTGACCCTGCTGGCCTCCTACTCACAGACCTGCAAGGGGATATATTTATGTTTTGTTTATGCCTTTCGGTGCTAGGGATCGAACACAGGGCTCCGCACATGCGAGGCAACTGCTCTACCCAGGAGCTACAGCTTAGCCCTTTTTATTTTTATTTTGAGATAGAATCTGTCTAAATTGCTGGCTGGCCTTGGACTTGCAATCCTCCTGCATCTGCTTCCCAAGTAGCTTGGATTACAGGCATGCATCACTGTGCCTAGCAAATGTGTGTTGTTTTAAGATGTGAATTTTGTGCTAATTTGTTACAACAGCAATAGAAAACCAATCCACTCCCTTCTGCCGGTTCAGTCACAGTGTGGAAAAGGGTTTCTGTGTGATGAGGGAAGAGCATTGGGAGAAGACTGAATTCCCATTCTGCATGACAGGAGTGTTACCCTAAGCCATAGAAATGTGGCCGTGAATGTCCAGAGAACCAACTAACAGGCTGGGAGCAGCTGCCCTGGGGAGTGGGAATTGGGCGAGGGTCGGCACCTCGGGGCTGGAGAGAACTCTGTGACTCCAGTGCAGGCCCTACACGCCTCACTGGCCAACCTTGAAGCCCAGATCACTCTCAGAGCTGGGGGCCGGGGGCCCTGCCTGTGGCTGCAGCATCTCTCTGTGTCCAGGGTGGAGGACAGCAGCACCAGGCTACTGGAGGCTGAGAGGGAGCTACGGGCAGCGCGGCAGCGTTCAGTGGTGCTGGAGCAGCAGCTGGAGAAGGTGCGGCTGGAGCCTGGCCGGGCCTCGGCCAGGGGCAGAGCAGGTAGGGGCTGTAGCTGATCTGGATGCACAGGAGGCAGAGGCCTGGGAGAGGCATGAGTGGGGAGCCAGGAGCCAGGACCCCTGGACCCCTGGTGGTGCCCAGCTGGGTGGCCCTGCCCACCACCCTGGCACCAGCTCAGCCCTGGGCCCTGGGCCCCACACACCTGGGGTCGGAGTGGCTGAGCCCAAGGGAGCTGGCTCCCAGGCCTCCAGAGGCTGCGACTCCTCCTGCCCCAGTGCCCAGGATGGTGCCTGAGTTCCCAGCCCGCAGCAGGAGGGGGCCTGGCACTGTCCCGAGCCCCATCCACTGTGCCCCGCAGATGCACACCTCACCCCGTCCTGCAGGCTCCAGCCCCGAAGCAGCTGGGGGCCTGGCAGGCCAGGACTCTGGCCTCACTGTCCCTGGCCGTCCTGCTCCTCCAGGCCCCTGGCCACGCAGGGACATGAGAAGCAGTGGCAGACCAGCCCCAGGTCCCCACGGCCCGAACACAGCTCCCGCTGGCTTCTCCTTTTGCACTCGCGAGTGTGGAGTTGAGGTGCTGAGCGGAGAAGCCAGAGTCAGGGCCCTGGCAGAGGCCAGAGGCAGGTGGGGTGGGAGGGGACTGGAGGGGCTCCTGGGGGAGGAGGCCTCGGAAGGAGGTGTAGGGAGCGTCTCACCGAGGGGGAGCACAGGGCCTTAGCACAGGGTGTTGTCTCATCGCACAAAGTGGCTGCTGCTGTCCCCCAGGTCTGCCTGCCTCCAGCACCAGGAATAACCCGACAGGGAGCAAGAAGGCCCCGTCCTCTGCCCCGATGTCCAACGTGCCCGTGGAGTCCCAGGTGGAGGAGCTGACTGCCAGGTGCTCCCACCCCGGCTTCCTGGCAGTGGTGTTGTCTGGGTCCAGGTGCCTCAGGGCCTGCGACTCCGGCCCGCAGGCAGTCCTGCTGTGTCCTGCCTCTAGGCCTGCAGCTCAGGGTGGCCTAGGGGGCACGGTGGCCAGCTGTGCCCTGGGGAGTTAAATGGGCGTGGGGCCGAGCGCCCTGTCCCACTCAGCGGCCCTTGTCCCACCTCGGGGCTCTTCCGGGGCTCCCAGCGCCTGGCGGGGCTGTGGGTGCTGGGCAGGGGCAGGGGCACCGTGCGGCCAGGCCCTCAGCCCCTTGTCCTGTGCCAGGCTGGCCGTGCAGGTGGAGGAGAATGAGCTGCTGCGGACAGCCCTGGGCAGCGCCCTGAGGGGCAAGGAGGAGGACTTCCGCGTGTACCACGAGACCCTGGCCCAGGTGAAGGGCGTCTTCCTGCAGGCCCTGCGGCAGCAGAGGACTGATGGGCACTAGAGGGTGGGCTGGTGTCTGCAGCCTCCCGGAAGCCACCGGAGCCCCTCAGGGTGACCAAGCCCAGCCTCGGCCTGGTGGCACCTGGGCACACCCGCCCCAGCTCTGGGACAGCAAGCCAGCTGCAAAGGGATGGACGTGTGCCCCACCCAGCGCCATCTGAGGCCACCACCCACCCCAGACTGGGCACTGGCTCCCCGGCCCTGGAGCCAGACCTGTAATAGCCATTGCCGTGGTAATCGCAATCCTGCAGTTGGTGAGGGGCTCCTGCTGACCTCGGGGTCAGGGGTGCCATGGAGTCTCGGTGGGGCTGGGCCCTGAGGACGCTGGGCTGCTGGTCCCCATGGGCAACTCTGGGGGGCAGCGGGACCTGGGCCAAGGTGCCAACCGCACCCGGTGTGTGCACAAGGGCTTCACGGCACTGGGTTCTGGCCAGGCCCGAAGCTCGTCCTCTCCTCAACTTCTGGTGTCACCTCAGCTGCCCGGAAGACTCACCAAGTCCTGACCAGGAGGCCCAGCCGCACGGCCTAGCCTCTGCCCCAGGGGCAGCACCACCCATCTGGCACGTCCACCTCAGGGCAGGACAGAGGCTGCAGGGCCAGAGGCGATGCTGGTGGGGCCTCTGCCCTGGCAGGAGCAGGCCACGCGTGACAGCCCTGGCTCACACGGCCCTCTGCAGGCACTGGGCACCCTGAGGGTGCACTTGGCATGGGGTGCAGACCCCACCCCTGTGGTGTCCCCAGGAGCAAGAGCGGGCATGGGACCAGCCCTCCACAGTCCCCTGGGCAGGGGCAGGGGTGCGGCGGGCACCTGCTGCCAGCTTTGTGCCCTCCGGCAAGTGGCTTGTGCTCCCCGGCCTCCCTGGCCTCATTGTGAAGTGGGGACAGTGACAAACCCCCAAGACCACCAAGGAGACGCTGGCTGTCCACAGCATTGCTATTTACTTCTGCACAAGGACCAGTGTCTGGACTGATGGCCGTCGGCAGAGTAGGACTCGTGTAAGGACAGACAGCAGAGAGCTGCTGCCCGGCAGCACAGCGGCCCCTCTGCCCACCCTTGGCAAACTGATCAGCGGGCACCCGTGGGGCCATGAGGCTTCCAGTCCCTGGCCAGGTGGCTGCAGACAGAACTTTGCAGGGCCCTCGTGGCCGGGGAGCCCCGTGGGGCCACATGCCCAGCACCTGTCCTGTCTGTGGGCGCCCTACTGTGCCCTCTGGCTGGGACCCTGCCTCAGAGTCCCACTGGACCCCATGAGCCGACAGCCACTGGCACACAGTAGGCCCCCAATAAATGCCCATGTGGGGCACTGCAGTGAGCCGCGGGGTCCCTGCGGGTCTCTATCCACAGGCTGGCCGGACACCAGCAGCCAACTCGGGGAGGCCAAGGAGTGTGACCAGCTCCCATGGCCCTGTGCCTGCCGCGTCCTGCCCCAGCTGTGGGTTAGGGGAGACTGGAGAGGGCTGGACCCAAGGGCCGAGCCCAGTGGCCCGGTAGGGAGCGGCCGCCTGCCGTCCGGGTTGGTGCCCCGACCCCGTGCAGCACCCACCCCTGCCCAGGGAGTTGGCCGGACACAGGTGCCCTGGAGGGCGGGAGGGCCGATTAAAAAGGCAGGCAGAAGCAGGCTGGCAGGCCCTCTGGGAGCCTGAGCAGGAGGATTAAACCAATTTGAGCCCAGGCTGGGCAATTTACCAAGGGCCCTGTCTCAAAGTGAAAAGTAAAAAGGGCTGGGGATGTGGCCCTGGGCGAAGGCCGGGTTCAGCCTCCAGCCCCAAGACACAGGCAGGTGAGGGCGTGAGCTCCCACACCCAGCAGGTGCCCGCGGCTGGTGTTGGTGAGCAGGCTCTGGGCCCCGCAGCACCCAGGGCAATGCTGTGCCACCCAGTTGCAGCCTGGCTCCAGGTGTGAGCCCTGTGAGCCCATGCAGCCTCCACACGCCTCACACACGGCACACACAGTGCGTAGGACATGCACACGGCACAAACTGTGGGTGCGGCTTTCAGGAGATCCAGCCGGGCACTGTGCTCCCCGCACTTTTGCTTTGAGCCCAGCGAGGGGGAAGGTTGAGACCCACCCACGCGTCCCTCCCTGTGCCCTGGCGGCCTGCTCTCTGCACCCCACCCTCCCATCCCACAGGTACAAGGCACGGCCCACACCCGGGGCTGCTCCTCAGGCCTCGGCCCAGGGCTCCCCCCAGCCCAATAAGTGCAGCCGCAGGGCACCCGCCTTACCCAGGGACTGAACCAGCAGCCGCCCCAGCTGCAGGGACCATGGGCCTGGGGTGGCAGTGCCTGGGGCAGCACCCTCACCCTCGCCCTGCAGGCAGGCAGCCCAGAAGCCACTCCACGGCCTCCCGCCTCACTTTGCTCTTGCACAAGCTGGGGACAGCGGGGCCACTGCAGACTGAGTCCCTGTCCATCCTGGCTGCTTCGGCTACCCAGTCCTCATGCCGAACAGAAGCCCCCACTCCCACTTCTCAGAGTCAGGACTGGGACGGGGCCTCGGCCGCTCTCTGCCGGGCTCCCTGGCTGCTTCCTCTGGGCCAGCCCATCCATGTGCCCAAGGGCCACCTCTGTCCCTTTCCTGTGTGGCCAGCAGGGCTTCCTGTCGTCCTCAACAGAGCCTGGCAGGGGCCAGGGAGCAGGGGCTCCAGGAGTGTCCCCGACTGGTGACAGTCACACATGGCCAGTGCGGGATGGGACCTCATCCCAGGGGAGCAGCCTTGCCAGCCCCCATCAGAAGACCCTGCCCGCCCAGGCCACCACTGGTTCGCACAGTCCCTTCCCCCGTCAGCCATCGAGAGGCTGCCGGCCACTCCAGATGCCCTTCAGCTTTGCTGGTGACCCTGCAAGCGGTCTGCCCAGAGATGGCTCCTGTGGGACAAGCAGGTCGGTCCTCCCCGGGCACCATGCCTGGGCCAGGACTCAGTGTGGCAGAAGGGAAGAGGGCAGGGCCCTGGGGTCTCACAAGAAGGCGGAGCTGGAGCCCACAGGGCTGAATCGGGCACTGTGTGCGTGACCACCTGGAAGGCTTCCTGGAAGAGGGGTCCCGACTGACAGCAAGAGGGCTGGGGGCCCCGTCCCTGCCTGAGCCTCTCCCTCCCCTCCCCCACCTCCAGAGGCTCCGCAGCCAGCAGCTCCGCAGTGCTCGGCTCAGCGCCACTCGGGAAAGGCACCTCCTCCTCCCCCCGCCGCCGTGTCACCACTCACTGCACAGCCTCGGGGGGTGGGGACCCCGGGCTGGACACTCCCCACTGTGCTCCAGAGCTCAGCCAGCCGGACAGACGTTTGGTCGGACACAAGGCCCTGGAGCCCAAGGTGGGCAACGCGCCAGGGCCCCTTGCAGCTCCTCGAGGTCAGTGCCAGCCAGGGACAAGGCCAGTCCCGGGTCCTGAGGCAGGCTGGCCCCTGCACACATGAGGTGGCCAGGTGGGAAGGGAGCACCCCGGGGCCAGCGCCGGCCGAGGTCAGGGGTCCGATGGCAAGGCCGGGCTGGGGACACTCCGCACTGGCCATGGGAGCTAAAATTGGAACGTGGCAAGTGGGAGGCAGCTGACAAAGCTGTTCCACCGCTCTTCGGCGCTCCGGTTCCAGGCTCCTGCTCCATTAACTTGATCCCGGGCCTCCCTGCCCCCAAGCCTCGAGGGCAGGGAGGATGAGCAGGTGCCCAGCCTGGCCGCGGGGAGAGTCAGGTGGCAGCTAGCACTCGGGCAGGGGTGACAGTGGTCTCTTCTGGGACACCCGAGGGGCCCCCAGAGGCCACCTCGTCACGGGGAGGCAGCCAGATGCTGGGCCCTGGCCGACCCTGCCCCTCTCTGGGCCACGACCTCCCCTGTGGAGCGGGTGTCCTTGGTGGGACCCAGGAGAGCTGGTAGGGGGCTGGCAAAGGCTATCTGTCACTGGGAGGCTCGGGTGCCACACAGCCACGCCGGCCCGAGGACACCTGGACCCCGGCTCAGCAGTGTGGAGTCGCAGGGTGGCCCGGCCAGACTGGGGCAGGGCTGGAGGGCATGGGTGCACAGAGGCCCCAGGGATGGCCCCGCACGGCGCCGGTGGACTCCTGGCCCCGGCCCGGGGGAGTGCTGGGCATCCTTGGTGCAAGGTCGGCCAGCACCTTGGACAGCGGCCAGCGCGCTGGTGCCCGCCTGGCCCAGCCGGCTTCCCCTCCCGGCTCCTCTGCAAATGCCCTCCAGCCAGGGTCGGCCCGAGTGCCCGGGCACCGAGTGCGACAGCGTGGACACCGGCAGGGCCAGGATGCGGAGGCCTGTCCGGGGTCCTTCCCCGACGGGGTTTGGGCGGGAAAGCCGCTCAGGAAGGGCGTGAGGGTGAGGCGAGCGCCCCTGGGGGAGCAGGGCTGGGGGAGGGGATGCCCCCGGGTTGGGGCGCAGCTCGGGGGGGGGGCCTCCACTCCAGCAGGGCTGCGGGGTGCCGCTCTTCAGCCTGCCTGTCTCCCAGCCCCGTCCAGACCATGGGCATCAAGACCGCACTGCCCGCGGCCGAGCTGGGCATCTACTCCCTGGTGCTGAGCGGGGCCCTAGCCTTCGCCGCCCAGGGCCTCCTGGAGGCGTCGCAAGGTGACAGCGGGGCCCTGGGGTGGAGGCCGGGACCCTGTCCCTGTGGGACCTGGGGCTGGGCGCTGTGAGCCCCTGGCGAGGGTTCAGGGACACAGAAGAGTAGAAGGGGGCGAGGCAGAGACCCGGGCCCCGCACGCTGGTGGGGACGTGGGGACGGCCACCTGGGGCCCTGGCCTGAGGCCGAGCGCTGTCCCCAGACGGGGCCCGCAGGAGAGCCTTCCGGGAGTCCGCGCGACCTGGCTGGGAGTACATCGGCCGGAAGATGGTAGGTCCCCGCCCGCCGAGCCCTTCCCGTCCTGCCGTGCCGGGTCTCCGAGCGGGGTCTCCAGCTCCCCAGCCCCTCCTGGGCCCTGCAGGGTCAGCGCTCAGGTCCCCTCGTCCCGTCCGCGCCCCCCCCCCCAAAGGCTGCTGGCTGCACTGTGCTCAGCAGAGGCCCCGCCCCTGCCGGGGGGGGGGACCCCGCCAGGGAGGCGAGGCCCTCTGTCTAGTGGTGGGAAGAGCCCTGCGCTGGGAGGTGCCGGCCCCTCACCGCCCCTCCTCCCGTGCCGCTGCCCAGGACGCGGCTGACTTCGAGTGGGTGATGTGGTTCAGCTCCTTCCGCAATGTCATTCTCTTTGCCCTCTGCGGACACGTGCTCTTTGCCAAGCTGTGCACCATGGTTGCTCCCCAGGTGAGCTGAGCCCAAGCCCACCTTGGCCACGGGCGGCGGGAAAGCCACCCAGGTCCCCGACGGAGCCTCCCCCTGTCCGCAGCTGCGCTCCTGGATGTACGCGGTGTACGGCCTCCTGGCCGTGGTGGGCACCATGGGCCCCTGGTACCTGCTGCTGCTGCTCGGCCACTGCGCGGGCCTGTATGTCGTGTCCCTCCTGGGCCAGCCCTGGCTCTGCATCGGCCTCGGCCTGGCCAGCCTGGCCTCCTTCAAGGTGGAGCCCCTCGTCTCCTGGCAGGTGTGCACTGGATAGGACAAGGGCTCGGGATGGGACCCGCCCCCTCGCCACCTCCAAGCCCCCCGAAAGTAGCACCTGGCGGCCCCGGGGTGTGTCCAGTGTCGGGTCTCTCTGCTGCGGTCCAGCCTGGCCCGGGAGGCGGGGCCCTGCAAGCCAGCGCCTGTTCTCTCTCCGCAGAGCGGGTTTGTAACGCGCACCTTTGATCTCCAAGAGGTGCTGTTCCAGGCGGGCAGCGGCTTCACGGTGCTTCGCTGCACCAGCTTCGCGCTGGAGAGCTGCACGCACCCCTGCCGCCGCTACTCGCTGGCCGACCTGCTCAAGTACAACTTCTACCTGCCCTTCTTCTTCTTCGGGCCCGTCATGACCTTCGACTGCTTCCACGAGCAGGTGAGGCAGGGCTCTGAGCACGGGGGGCCTCAGACAGGGGCTCCCAGCATCCCACCCTTCGCAGGGCCCGGGGGGGGGGGGGTCACAGCGGGGACTGTTTCCCCAGGACTCGCGGCCGGGCCGCAGCACCTCCTCCCGTCACATGGGGCCCCCACGTGCACAGGCTTCTCGGGAGGCCCCAGCTGCGTCCTCAGGCTGCCCCACCACAGACAGCCTGTGTCCCTAGGTGATCCAGGCAGAGCCCGTGCGGCCCGAGGGTGAGCTGTGGCGGATCCGGGTGCAGGCGGGGCTCAGCGTGGCCACCATTGTGGCCGTCGACATCTTCTTCCATTTCTTCTACATCCTCACCATCCCCGGTGACCTCAAGTTTGCCAACCGCCTCCCGGACAGTGCCCTGGGTGGGTCCCACACAGGGACGGGTAGGGGATGCCCTCTGTGCTCGCAGGGTGGCCACAGCACCCAAGGGTCCTTGCCACATGCAGGTTGCGATGTTCTGTCCTGGCAGCTGGGGCTGTGTGCCTGGGATCCCAGGCCTGTGGGGCGTGCACAGAAGATGGGGTGCCCATGGGGAGCGTAGAGTCTGCAGGGGTAGGGGAGCCGGGAAGGGCCTGTAAACAGGGCTCCACGGGGCCAGGCGCTGACGGCACCCTTCCCCAGCCGGCCTGGCCTACTCGAACCTGGTGTACGACTGGGTGAAGGCAGCCGTCCTCTTCGGCGTCGTCAACACCGTGGCGCGGCTGGATCACCTGGACCCGCCGCGGGCACCTAAGTGCATCACCGCGCTCTACGTCTTCGGGGAGACGTGAGTGCCCAGGGCAGGGGGCCTGGACCCCACGCCCAGCCCCTCCTGCTCAGCCGCCTCCCTCCCGCAGGCACTTCGACCGGGGCATCAACGACTGGCTGTGCAAGTGAGTGGGCCAGACCGGGCCAGGCTGGGAGGCAGGGTGGGCACGGGGCTGGCCACTGTGCTGAAGGAGCAGGGCCCTGGGCAGCCTGGGGGACTTGGGCTGTCGGGGGTCCCCAGATCGGTCGGGTCAGCAGCTTCCAGGGTGGTGCTGCTTGGGAAATGTCTGCTTGGAACCCGAGCATCCTTGGGGTGGAGAGGAGGCAAGGACGGGGGACCCCGAGGTGTAGGAAGGAGAGGGGGCCAGCTGGGCCTGCGAGGACACTGGTCGGGGCCAGAAGCAGAGGTGACCAGAGTGGAGGGAAGAGCAGGACAGGATCGGGGGCCACGTGACACCTGGGAAGCCCCCGGGGATGGGGGCAGGGCCTCACGCCTCGGCCCAGGAGAGCCAGGAGGACTAGGAGGAGGAAGAGTGGGGGCCAGCGCAGGAGGGGGTTCTGCTTGGCACAGGGGGCCCTGGCCCTCGGGCCCAGGCAGGTGGAGGTCATGGCTTAGGGAACAAGCAGCTGGGCTCCAACATGAGAGAAGGAAAAGTGGGAGATGGTTTTCAGTTCTCCAAGATGTCAACTCTGTGCCCAGGCCCATTAAGGAGGGCAGCACTCAGGAGGCCGAGGCAGGAGGATCGCTGCAGTAAGGAAAGGATGGGAGGAACACATGATGGGTGGGATTGAAGGACCAAGCCAGGGGACAGCAGAGTCAGGACGCACTGGGAAGAGGGGGAGTTGGGGGAGAGGCAGGTTTTTGGCAAAGCTGGGGTATGGTCAGGGTATGGGTGGCAGAGGTGGATGGAGAGGAAACCACTGGAAATGAGCAGACCATGGGACGCGAGGCTGGTTCCTCAGCGGGTCTCCCGTGGTTTTATTCAACACACGTCCACAGAGCCCTGCTGTTTTGGGCCCTGTCCTGGGCACTGGACAAACAGCTGTGAACATGGTAGACCCTGAACTTGGGGCTGAGGGGGTCTGGTGAGGAGAAGCAGCCACACACAGGCGACTTCGGGTGGCCTGGGTGTTCAGAAGAGCAAGACTGTGCTGCAGGAGCCTCTGGGCACTGGGGAGAGCTTCTCGGGTCTGAACTGGGACTGGAGAGGCTCGGACAGGCAGGAACAAATGCCGAGAGAAAGAGCAGTGTGTGCAAGGCCAAGGTCCCGGGGCACGCAGCAGGGGTGGTGAGGTTGGTGAGGTTGGGCGGGCGCCTAGCCCTGGGAAGGGGCGACTGACCCCCACTGTGAGGGAAGCTCAGCGGGCAAGGTGGTGCATGCCGGTGTTCCCAGCATCCCGGAGGCTGAGGCAGGGGGCTGCAGCTCCAAGCCAACCTGGGCCACACAGTGTGACAGGAGGCAGTGCGGGTCCAGGCTACCCCTGAAGATCCCTGGGTCCAGGGTGGGCAGTGGGGGAGCAGGAAGACCACAGAGGCTCTGGCCACGAGGGGGTACCTTGGCCGGGGCAGAGAGGGAGGTGGGGAGCGGTGGTCGGGACTGAGTGGGGCCTTAGCTGTGAGTGGGAGTCGGGGACCCCCAGGCGCAGAGGACTCGCACCCCAAGCAGCTGAGAAGGTGCTGCACCACAGGCTCAGTAGCCCCTGAGGGAAGCCACCAGCAGGGGGCGCACATGTCAGGGGCTCAGGTGTCCCAGCAGAGCCCTGGGTGGGAGGAGACAGGAGACAGACACCAGGCCCAGGGCGGCCATGCAGCGCCTCGAGGGCAGCGGCCTAGGTTGGGACAGCAGTAGCCCCAGGGCAGCGCCCAACGCTGGCTCCCGGCTGCCCCTGCCCCTTCCCACACCCACGGCTGCCGTCCCCTGCAGGTACGTGTATGACCACATTGGTGGGGACCACTCGGCCGTGATCCCCGAGCTGGTGGCCTCGGTGGCCACGTTTGCTGTCACCACGCTGTGGCTCGGGCCCTGTGACATTGTCTTCCTGTGGTCTGTCCTCAACTGCTTCGGCCTCAACTTTGAGCTCTGGGTCCAGAAGCTGGCAGAGCACAGGCCACTGGCGCAGATGGAGGTGAGCAGGGAGCGGGCGGGAGGGGCGGACAGGGCCCAGGGGGGTGCGGAGGCAGGTGAGGGCACAGGGGGGCACAGAGGGGCGCTGTTGCTCGGGCCTCGCCCCACTCCCTGGCCCCAGCGCAGGGCAGCGCGCTCACCGTGGACCCCGTGTCAGGCACTGGCCCTGCCTGGGTACCAGGCCACCCAGCCTGGGCCTGGCTGTGGGTTGGGCCTCCATGTCCCCACATCTGACCATGAGGGGAGCCGGCCTGGGGCTCCAGGACCCGACACAGCCCAGGCCCGAGCAGCCGGGCCAGGCTGCTGAGCGCCACGTCCTCCTCCCTTCGCGCCTCACCGCGGCTCCCACTTGGCCGGGCAGGCCTCCCTGTCGGAGCAGATGAGCCGCCGGGTGCGCGCCCTCTTCGGGGCCATGAACTTCTGGGCGATCATCATGTACAACCTCGTGAGCCTGAACAGCCTTGAGTTCACAGAGCTGGTGGCCCGGCGCCTGCTCCTCACAGGTGAGGGTCGGGCGTCCACCTGAGAGGCAGGGAGGGCCTCGGGGCGGAAGGAGGACCCAGGGATGGCGCCCCGATCCGCGCCTCCACCCCACAGGGTTCCCCCAGACCACACTGGCCGTCCTGCTTGTCACCTACTGTGGCGTCCAGCTGGTGAAGGAGCGGGAGCGCACCCTGGCCCTGGAGGAGGAGCCAGAGCCGGGGCAGGGCAAGGAGAAGCCGGAGTAGCACGGCGGGCGCCCACTGAGAATAAAGCTTTTCTACCCCGCCTGGGCTCCAGCCTCTTCTGGTGGCCCCAGCTCCCGTCCATGGGGGTGGGGACAGAGAGCACAGAGCAGAGGGCAGGGCGCAGGGCAGCAGAGACCCTCAGAGGCCCTCCCGGCTCCTCTCGCAGCGCAGCAGCAGAGCCCAGAGCCCGAGCCACTTTATTCCCCTCAGACGGCAGGCGGGGGACAGCACAGCACAGCACAGCACACAGGGCCGGGCTGGGCGCTGCCGGATTCCTCCCCGTGGCTCCCGGCACCCAGCCCCACCAGCCCCACCACGGCTGGCAGCTCCGCCTCTCCTGGCCTCCTCCCTGGCCACAGGGTGGCTGCAGGCATCACATCTTGGTCAGGCGCAGCACGTTGAGCCGCACGGGCAGGAAGGTGGCGCTGGCCGCATAGGAGATCTCCCGGAGGACGCCCTCCCACTTCTCCTCCTCCTCGCTGTATCTGGGCGGGATGGGCCGGGGCGAGGAGGAGGCGCCCTGAGCAGAGTCCAGGGTGCTGGCGGCCCACACTGCACCTGCCCCGACCCTGGACACCCCGCTCCTAGGAAGCCCGAGAAAACGCACCCCGCGGGCTTATAGCCGGGCGGGGAGGAGCTCCCTCCCCAGGAAAGGGCCCCCATTCGGGAACCTCACGCCACTGCCCTCCCAACAAAGCCCCCTCAGATTTCCAGGCTCCGCACTCAGGAAGTGCCCCTGCAGCAGGGGGGTGAGGGGTTCAGGAACCCGGGCGGCCTAAACCTGCCCTTCCCCATGAGGGCCCAGCAGCTCCCCAGGCCGGCCTGGTTCCTTCCCGACCGAGCATGGAGAAGGCAGGGCAGGGAAGGCCTGGCAGCCGCCTGGTCCCTGAGCTGGATCCGGGGGTTCACAGGCCGAGCAGCAGGGTGCTGTCCTCCCTGGACCCCTCCCTGCGCCAGGCCTGAGCCTCGGGAGCCCTGGGTGGGGCTCACCTCCAGACGTCGTTGAGCTCTGTGGGGACCAGCTCTCCAGACTCGGTCTCCAGCGTGGCGAAGCCCCCGATGGCATAGAGGGTGCCCGCCAGGCTGAGCAGGCTGAGGGAACTGCGCTCCTGCGGGAAGGCCTCGAAGGTCGACCACCTGGGGACAGGGCGCGTGAGCCAGGGGCCAGGGCCACTGCTGCAGCACCCACAACCTGGCTGCCCCTGGACACCAGAATCCAGGCTCCCCCGCCGCCGGCCTCTGGGCGGCCGGCCCTGCGCCCCTCCCAGCCTGGTCCCACGCCACCCCATCCCAGCTGCCCAGGGAAGCGGCCCTGAACTGCACCTGCTGATTCAGAGCAGGGCCCGGCGTGCCCGGGACGCGGCCCTCAGCTCCGCGGTGGCCCCGGTGCGTGGCCTGAGCCCCCTTCTGCCCTCGAAGCCTAAGGCTCCGCAGCGCCTCCCTCCCCACCCCCAAACTGTTGCCACCCCACGCATCTGCCGCCCGTTGTCCCTCCTGGATCCTCACTTCTGCTATCGAGCCCCAGTGGCCCCAACAACGGGCCTCCCCTCTCAAAAGCGTCCCCTCGGCCTCTCCCTCACCCCAACATCAGGCCCCTCTCTAGGCTCCTGCTTCTCAAGCGAGGCCCTGGACCACAGCGGCAGCGTGTTCCGGGGCTGGCAGCTGTGCAGGCCCACATTTCACCCCGCCGCGCCTGGCCCAGGCCTCCCTCCCTCTGCCCAGGGGCACCCTGTACCCCTGGCCTCCCGGAGACCCCTCGTCTGCGTCCACACTGCTGCTGTGAGCATCGTGGTGAGACCGGGAGACCAGGACGCTGCCCCGGGACGGGTGCCTCCTCCTCCACCGCTCCGCCCGCCAGCCCGCCCAAGCCTGGCTTCTCCTGCACCCCCCTGCTCTGCGGACCCAGGCACCAGTCTGCTGGGACTGGACAGCTTCCTCCCACCCACCACCCTGCCCACCCGCTGGCTGCCTCGGGCCCAGGACGGAGGCCTCGCTTGCACAGACTCCAGGCAGGGCTGGGACCCAGTGGGGGCCGAGGGTCGTGCTCACCGGTTGTCCGCGATGCTGTACACCTCAGCGCTGCTGGTCAGCCCCGTGTCTGTGACCCCCGCTGCCACAAAGATGCGGCCATCGTGCACAGTGGCCCCGAAGAGAGAGCGCGCCGTCTGCATGGGCGCCAGCTCCTTCCACTCGAACTTCTCAGGATGGTAGACACAGGTCCTGCGGAGGCACTTCCTGCAGGGCACAGCAGTGAGCGGGGAGGCTGAAGCAGGGCCATCTCCCGAGAGCCCAGGCCCAGCCTCACCTGTCACTGCCCTTGCCCCCAATGACGTAGACGAGGTCCAGGTGAGACAGCACCGCGTGGCCGTACACGGCGTAGGGCAGTGGGTCCGACTCACCCCATTTGAACGATCTGCAGGGGCGGGAGGTGCGGGCTCAGGCGAGGGCTCAGTGCCCGCCTCCAGTTCAGCAACCCCAGCCCAGACCCGGGTGCGCCCCGCTCCTCCCCAGGACCCCAGATCTCAGGGTCCTCATGCTCTGCTCACAGTCGGTCGTAGCACAGCACCGAGTCCAGGCTGCGCTCGCCGTCCTGGAGCTCGCGGCCGCCGACCACGTAGATGGCGTTGAGCGCCTCTCCCAGGCCGAAGAGGCAGCGCGGCGAAGGCAGCGGCGGCATGCCCAGCCACCCCGAGTCCAGGTGGTCAAACTGTGGGCCCAGTGTCGGGTCAGCGCCACACTGGCCGCCACCCCAACTACCAACAGACCCCACGGCAGGGACCCTGGGATTAGCGTGGAGGCCGCTGGCCTCGCCCACTGCCCTGGACACTTCACTCTAAGACCTGCAGGCTGCAGCCGGCCGCCTCCACCCCCTGCGACCGTGAGGAGTCTGCTTGGGGCTGCGGCTGCGCCCACAGGCCCCGCTTAGCCTGAACACCTCTCCTCTCTGCTGCAGCAACGCCGCCCACAGACTCCAGCGGGGCGCAGCACCCACGCTGCGACAGTCCCAGGCTCTTCCCTTCCGGGCCAGCTATGGCCGCCCTCCCTCCACTCCTCTGAGCTCTGTGTAGCCGCTGCGTGCTCCCCGCGGGCAGTCTTCTCTGCCTGGAGGCCCCACAGCCGCACCCCAGCTAGGCCTGGGCACCTGGCCTCCCGGGCCTTCCCCGGCCTCAGCTTCTCTAGGAGAGGACTTGGGACTCAGGCTCGGAATTCGAAGGCCCTGCCCTGGACCCCTGCCCCCTAACCCTGCACCCCTTGGAAGGGAGGCACCGAGGGACCAGCTCTCCACCAGCGGCCTGGGACCGTCCTCAGCCTGCCAGCGCGGGGCAGCAGCCAACCGCCCTTCTCCAGCCAGTGGGTGCCCGGCACGGCCGCACCTGCAGGAAGTAGGCGCTCATGGGGTCGTCCTTGCTGTCCTCGTCGTAAAAGAGGCCCCCGGCCACGAAGACCTGGTTCTCCTTGGTGACCAGGCTCACGTGGTTCTTGGGGACCTGCGTGGAAAGGGAGACGCAGTAGCACTCATTGGCTGCGGGATCGTAGGCCACGGTGCCCTGCTCGCTGACCATGAGGATGAGGTCCTGCAGGAACATGCCGAAGCGCAGCGTGTCGTTCAGGATGCCGGGCAGCACGCGCTCGGCTCCTCCCTCCTCCTCCTCCCCCTCCTCCTCCTCCTCCTCCGGGCCCTGGGCCTCTTCCCGGGAGGGACTCTGCTCCTCGCCCTTCTCCTTGTCCTTGTCCCTCCTCTTCCGGCGCAGCGTGGTCACGCGGCCCTCGTGCGCATCCTTCACCATCTGCACCTTTCGCAGCAGCTCGGGCTGGGCGCGCACGAGCGGGTGACGCTCCACGCGGGTCTCCAGGAAGGCGCGCGGCAGCAGGCGGCAGCGCACGCTCTCGAACACCGTGGGCAGAGCGCACTGGCGCTCGGCGCGGGCCTCGGCAGTGCCGCTGTCCGCCCAGCGCATCACCGCCTCGAACACCGCCTCCTCCTTCTCCACGTTGAGGCCGTCGCTGGAGATGATGGCGATGAGCTCGTCCGCCGAGAGCCCCAGGAAGTCGGCGTCGCGCGACACCAGCGGGAAGCGCGCGCAGATGAAGTCGCGCGCGGCCACGGCCAGGCGCGCGCAGTCGAGCAGGAGGCCGAGGCGGAACACGGCCAGGCAGTTGGCAAGGCACAAGCGCTTCTGCAGGAACGACACACAGATGGTGAAGATGGACGGGATCTGGAAGCGGTGCGCTGCGGCGAACAGGTCCTGCACGCGGGCCTCGTCCAGCGCGATCTCCGACGTGTACAGGTAGTGCAGCACCTGGGCCACCACGTCGGGCGACACGTCCTCCAGGCGCACCTCGCCGCTCTCGGGCGCGGCCAGGAAGCGCGCGCGGAAGTAGGGGCTGCAGGCGGCCAGCACCAGGCGGTGGCACGGGAACTCGCGCTCGCCCGCGCGCACCACGCAGTCCAGAAACTTGCCGTGGTCCAGCATGTCCTTGAGCCCGTCCTGCAGCAGCGTCTGCTGGTAGAGCCGCTGCTCCTCCGCCTGCTCCAAGCCCAGCGCCATGGTGGAGCCCGGGAACGCAGTGCCGGTGCCGCGGGAGCCCTAGGGTGCGGCGACAGTGCCAGGGCCCCTCCGTGCACCTGCCTCCCTGCGCCTCAGTGCCTGGGCGCAGCTGTCCCGCGCTATTTATAGAGCGCTCCTGAAAGATGAGCCTCCAGGCCTCAGCGGGGCCCTCCCGGAGCAGCCTTGTCGAGGCCGTGGGGTGGGGCGTGGGCCAACTTGGGGCCCTCCCTGTCCCCTCCCAGTGGAACCGCGGGGTGGGGGCCGCCCCGCGGCAGAGCCCTCTCCGCCTCCCTCCCTTCCCGCCTCTGGGCCTGTCTGGGTCCGGTTCGGAGTCTGGGTTTCCTGCACAGTGAGCGGCACCGTGGCCATCACTCTTGAGCCGTCTGTTGCTGCCCTTAATGGGGAACCCTTTTCCTCTCTCTGCCTCTGTCCTGAAACTCTCCTTGCAGAGAAGCCCGTAGGTAAACAAGGCCACCACTACCCTGAGGGGCCCGGGGCAGGGCTGTCTCTCTTCGAAGCCTCAGTTTACCTCCCACACCAGGCGGAGGTGGAGGAACTGGACTGCAGGGCCCCAGCCAGGCCCTGCCGAGATTCGAGCTCACTGAGGTGTGGTGTCCCCGAGAGCACACAGGCGCTGTGACATCCTAGCGTGTCAGCCCTGCTAGGCGTCCCCCGCTCTGAGTGTTCAGCCCTCCAGGTTCTAACATCCCAGGGTGGTGGGGACATTCGAATTCCAGTGTCCAACACCTGGCACTCAGGCTCCAGGACTGCGTCTCTGCTCTCGGGCCCAGGTGGACACTGGTGTCAGTGTGGCCTGGCTGATCTGAGGGCTCAGAGTGGAGGCCCAGGACAGCCAGTCTCCATGCCTGCCCTGCTCCAGACTCTTGCACCCAAAGTGCGCACGTACACGCACACACCCCAGCCTTGGCCAAGATTAACTTGTTCTCAAAGTGCCAGCAGCAGCAGCTGTGGGTTAAATTTAGCCCCGGAACACTGGTATGAGCTGTTATGGGGCACTCCCCCGTCCGTCCTGAGTCACTTGTTTGTACCCTCGGGCTGTGGCGAGGACAGAAGAGAGGACCTCGGGGTGGGCCCGGACCGTGTCACCTCCCCTTTATGGCTCCAGCAGTGTCACTGTCTGTCCCTCTGGAGCCGTGCCCCTGACTCACCCACGCACCTCCCCAGCAGGTCCTGGGACTCACCCTGAGCAGGCCCTGCACGGGGTCCTGGCCACCTTGCCCCCAAGAGGTGAATGGGGTCTCCCTGCCCCGCCCCGCGCTGCAGGGTGTTTCTAGCAAGCATGAAACAGATCTGAGAGGCTCCACAGTTCAGCCACATCCATCACCCAGCCGCCAGGCGGCCCAGCCGGATGGAAAGCAGGGCTGCCGGTCCCTCCTGACGTTGCTCCTCCCAGGAATGACAGACGTGCCCAATGATCATAGTCTCGTTTTCCCCAGACCAGGAGAGGAACTGACGAGGCAACTCATTTATAGCCACTGGATGACCTCATGGGTATCTTTAGGTTATGCCAGATCCCATAAAGCTCACGACCTACACGCACCCCCTGCGAATGTGTGTATGTGGCTCCTTCACCTGCCGAGAACCCACTGCTCTCTGTTTGAAATGCTGAATCCTTGGCATGAACAAATCTGTCAGGAATGTCTGCCTTTCAGGAGCTCATATGGAGGGGGCAGCAGATAAGTGTTATACAAGACCACAGATGATAGTGACTGCTTTGGACAGCGGAGCCGTTGGGATTTTCAGTGGCATAGTCAGCATGGACCCACTGAGAGGGCTACCCATGAGCAGGCTCCAGCCACAGAGGGTTCCAGGCAGGGAGCAGCTTGAGCAAAGGCCTTGAGGCACAAGAGCACTGGCATGTGCCAGAGACATGTGGGGCTGGAGAGCAAATAGGGCGGTGAGTAGGAGATGAGCAGAGGGGCCGTGTGGACCCCTGCATGAGCTTACTCATGGGAGCCACCGTTTATTTTTAAATAATGATCATGGAAAAAGTGAAAAGTACAGTACAAGAATGTTCTGACCTCTCACACCCATCACCCCACTGCAGTGACTGTTGGGTTACTGCTGAGTTAGATGTTGTTGTCCCTCTAAAGGCTCAGGCGTGGTGGTGGAGGCGGTGGCCAAGTGGGAGGTCCTTAGGTCGCTGGGCTCTGCTGGGGAACAGAGTAAGTGGGTTCTCATGGGACCTCCTGGTGGCTCTCGGGAGAAGGCTGGCATGCATGCCGGAGTCGGCCAGGCCGTGTCTCAGCTTCCTGTGCTGAGGTGTGATTTCCCAACACCACACTCACGCTTGCTGTAGCCTCCGCCACGAGGGGACCCAGTCAGGGGCCTCCCCAGAGCCGATCGCCATGGGCACACACCCTGGGCCCTCGGGATGGGGGCCAAACAGCCCTCTTCTTCCCTCGCAGCCTCCTTGGATGTTTCAAAGTGGTGAGTAAATGCTGCTGAGTCGCCCTGCTGTCACGTGCGGCAGACACTGTCACACTTGGTGGCCCTTTGTGTCCCCTACACAGTCCTGCTGTGTTTCAGACAGTTCCCACCTCGGTAGTCCTCACCTGAGGTAGAAACCTGACCTTGTGTTTCCAGCCTCCTGGAGAACACAGACTCCCGCTGAGCTCCATTCCCACGTGACCCAAGCTGCCCAGACTTCCATTTAGAAAAGGAAGCGGGAAGGGCAGAGTCTGTTTTGGCAAAGACCGCTGAGGGACAGCATGGTCAAAACTGTGGTGCCACTTCCCCAGGTCCATGGGGTCTGTTGCCCCTAAAGGCTGCCTAGTCCCATAGCAGCCAGCTGAACTGCATGGACAGTTTGCTTCTAAGGAGGCTGCGTGACAGAGAAACTCACATCAGGCAGACATGGAGGCTGAGCTCCGGCAGCTGAGCCCTCCCGGTGGTCTGCTTTCTTCTCAGCTGACTTCTGGACGAAAGGTGACCTACCCAAGGAGTCCAGATGCCAGAGATGCTTTCCTGTGACTTGGAGAACGGATTGCAAAACTTTAGGGAATGGGCGCGTCACAGAGGATCTGCTGAGCGGCTCACTGTGTTCATTGCATTCACTCGCTGAGTGGGCTCAGAGGACACATTTGCCTGGTGCCGAGGAATCGAGGAATGTTGGCAATGTTGGCACGTGCTGTGATGGCCACGGGTGGCTGGATCCTCGGTCTTCAGGTGCTGCCCTGATTTCAGGGAGCGCAAGGAGCTCCTACAGATGGCAGAGGCCAAGCAGTGGCTCCTAAGTGCCAAAGGTAAGATGGGCAGTGTTACTGCAACAGGCCGCAGGCTGGCATGGGTGGTAACCGGGCCTGAATTGGGGGATCCTAGGGGGTCATTAAAGGGTCATGGGTCTCTTAGGATCAGAAACAGATGGGTGCTCTACCAAAGTCAGGAATTCACCTGCTGGATCTGGATTTGCATTCCTTGCCTGCCACATTTCTGCTAATCCCACCATCCATGGACTTAATGCCTTCTTTTCATGTAATCCCACTTAACTGCTTTTTTATCTAGCGTCTTATCTGACAGCAAAGCAGAGGCAAGCCTTCCAGTTGATGATAGCAGATTCAATATACACATTACTTTTGCTTCTTCCTAAAGCTTTACTGCAATGAAGGTACAGGAATTTTTTTAAAAATCTATATAACTATCAAGACCAAGTACATAACATACTCTGCATGGATACAGAAGAAACACCATGGGTTCAGGAAGGGAGTTGGTGTGACTCGCAGCTTAGCTTGCTTGAGAATGCTAAACCCTGCATCAGCAATGGGAAACCCTGGTGCAGCCATTATACACATTAGAACCCCTGTCTTAGTTACTGTCTCATCAGCAGGACCAAGTACCTGCCACAGTTTTAAAGGAAAGGTTTCTTTTGGCTCATGGTTTCAGAGCCAGCAGGTTCACACACAGAAATGGCATGGTGGAAGGGCTTGGCACGGAGGAAAGCTCATGTGGTGGCACCTCAGAAGCAAAGAGAGAAAGGAGGGACCTAAGAAGGAAATACACATAGGTCACGCCCCTAGTAACCCGTCTCTAACCAGGCCCTGCCTCATAACAGCAAGTCAGCTGTCAACACATCAGTGGGCTAATCCACTGATAAATATCGTACCCCATGATCCAGTCACCTTCCAAACACATGAGGCTTTGGGGACACCACGGTCCTAATCCATAACACTGCCAACAAGGTCTAGAGTTGGCAGCACCCAATACATTGAATATACGGGAGAAGGCTGAACACAGGAGGATTGGTCGTAGGAGTCATTAAGAAGCAGTTAGACACAACACCATGCCACCTGGGCAGAAACCAAAGGTTTAATTTCTGAAGAAGATAAATCTGAGCTCTTGACTGAGGGACACCCAGCAGCATTGAGGGTGATGGTCCCATGTGGAAATGAGTAAGAGCAACTTCTTATGCTTCGTGGAGAGTTCCTGCTCCCACTTAGCAACCAGAAGGCTAGCAGCCCAGCCATACCCCCAAACGGAATTGAAACTGGGGGATTTGCCAGACCAAGAGGAAAATAAAAGGTATCAAGAACCAAGGGCCTTTTAGAAAGCAGCCTGGCCAAATCATCCTAAGTGGAGCCCTCCTATTAATAATTCTCATCACATATGTGGAGTTTCCAATGCCTTAATGTTCTACTTGTTAAAATGGTTGAAGAGACAATTTATGACTTGATCAAGATAGTGTACCGCTCTATGAAAATAATGAAATCAAAGCATAACTCTAAAAGGTAGCAAGAGAATGGAGCATGAGAATGGACAACTCAGCAGCAGGATGTCTTATATGCTCCCCAAGAAATGATGACCCAGATGATCCAGACCAGGTGGCTTCTGGGCCCCAAGCCTAGCAACAGAATGCAGCCCATAGAGGCTCATTTCTCTTACAAATTGGGCAATCCTCTGACACCTTCAGGGAAGTACCACCAGCAAGGGGCACCAATCAGGAGCCCCACTAACAGTCAGTAGCCAAGGCAAATGCTGTCCTTCCACACTGGGCCTGAAACTCACTTTCCTATCATGAGACCCTGGGCAGGCTGACCTAGGAAACCTCTCTGCCACCAGCAGCACCAGATAAGCCAGGCAGGTGAAAATATCACTGCAAAGGTTATGATAGTTGTCATTTGAACTTCAGCCCACAAGAATAGGCCAGGACTTGCATGCCGAACTTAATAAGATGACTTCCTGTTGCAACAAAAACAAGATCCAGAATCTCCTAACATGACAATCAAAATGTCTAGGATACAATAAAAAAAAAATCACCCAACATACCAAGAACTAGAAATATCAAACTTGAATGTGGAGGGAATCAACTGATGCTAACACCAGTTGAATCAGATGTTGGAATTATCTGGAAAGGGTTCTAAGGCACTTATCTATCATAAAATGCCTTGACAAGTTCAAAATTCTTATAAAATAAAATTTAAAAATAGAAAAATTCAGGGCCAGGGATTTGGCTCAGTGGTTCCTGTGCCTGCCTCTCAAGCACAAGGTCCCAAGTTCAATCCCCGGTACCAAAAGAAAAAAGCAAAGAAACAAATTATACAGAAAAACCGAATGAAAATTATAGAACTGACAAAATACAACAGAAATGAAAACTTCCCAGGGTAGCTTTGATAGGAGAGAGGAGATGGCAGAGGATAAGATCCATGCAACAATGGAATTTCCCCATCTGCACAACAGAAAAACAATACATTGAAAATATATAGATATGAGTAGAGTTTCAAGGGTCCATGGGTCACTGACAAAGAGCCAGTGGTGGTATCATTGTATGTAATCTCAGAAAGAGAGGAGAGAGTGGAGCTAAAAGAGTAATTGAAGTAAGAATGATGGAAAACTTCCAAAACTTGGTTAAGATAAAAACCAGCAGATTGAAGAAACTGAGCAAACCCCAAACAGGATGAAGTCAAAGAAATCTATGCCAAAAATATCATAAACTTCTAAAAAATAAAGTTAATTTTTTAAAATTCTTGAAAGCAAGTAGAGAAACCACATATCACCTATGGGGTTGGGGGGTGGGAGCTGCCAGTTCAAGTCACAGCCAATTTCTCATCCAAACCATGGAAGTCAGAAGGAAGTGGCACCACATTTTTCAAAGGCTAAAAGAACTACTGACTATGGATTCTATACCCAATGAAACTGTCTTTCAGGAACAAAGATGAAGTAATCCCAGAAATTTTTTTTAAAGTGCCAGAAACTAATAAATGAACTCACAAAGTCAGTGCACATAAGGACGTAAGCTTATAAGATAAATACACAAAAAATATTTCTTTTTACTGTGTTTCTGTCTTCTAATGAATAATGATGTTTACTTGATATTAATTTACTTATTAATTAATGTTAAGTAAACTACAATATTAATATGACTATTTTTAATATTAATATTAACATGA